TGTAAGTGTTACAATCCTTCCATCATCAAGTCGACTAGGTCCGTTACTTCTTACAGCCTTCCCGTGGACCTTCCGGTCAGCTGTTCGTCGTTTCCCGACCTCTCCTTTTCAGGAAGAGGACATTCCCTTGCGAAATGTCCATTTTCGTTGCAGTTGAAGCATATCAAATCTTCTTTTCTCCGCCATTTCTTGCCGGAATTTCCAGGAGTTGGTGGTTTGGGAACTCTCTCAGAAGAAAGAAATCTTTCATTCATGAGCCTTGTCATTGTCTCGAATTGTGTTGCCTGCCTTTCACACAAATGCTCCAATTTCTGGATGAGTTGCTCAGATTCCTTTTCTGAACCCCTCACCAATTTGTGCGGACGTCTCTCCGATCTTCGTTCTTCTTCGATTCTTTCATAGTTCTCTGTCTCTATGGCCGCACGAATAGCTTCGTCAATGTCCTTTGGCCTAGCTCTGTGCACTCCTTCTCGGATAGTCCGGTCTTCTATTGCCTCAATAAAATGGTTCTTCTCGAGCCTTTTTCTCCCAACCTCTGGAATGTCTGGGTAGGCTTTGATTGCCAATTCACATATGACTTGGCCAAGTTCCTTCAGTGTTTCTGTTTGGCCTTGACGGCGATGACGCAATTCAAACAGAAAATTTTCTGCCTGTTGACTTGGGCCAAATCGCTGCTCTAGGAGCTTGGTCAGTCCCCTATACGTAAGTTTGCGATCGTGCTGATTGTCCAACAGACGGAGTGCTTCACCTTGAAGGCTTACAGTCAGAAAAGCACTTGCCTGCTCCTCTGTCCAACCATTTATATCTTTGCATGCTTCAAAGTGTTTCAAGTACTGATGCCACGATGTTTGTCCATTGAACCGATCAGGTGTTATGCAAGGCCTTTGGCTCTGTTTTGTTCCTATTGAACAATCTCTAGAAACTTCTTCTTTTATTTCCACATCACCCTGCTTGTTGTCAGGCTTCTTCGTAAGAGCCGATTTCGTTCTTCCACTGGCCTTTTCCCATGGAAAATTGGGATCGAATCCTTCAAGGAAAGGGGACCCAATGTCCCCAGCCAACTCTTGAGAAAACATGGTATCCGGCACAGGAGTCGAACAATCGGTTCCAACCTTCCGGTCTGGGGTCAATAGCTCAGGATACAAGCCCTTCTTCTCTCCACATTCGGGCGTGTTTTCACCCTTGTTTCTCTCAGTGTACGGTCCATTGAAAACTATGTCCGTATCTACTCTCCTTCTCACAGATGGTTCTTCGAACTGTCCAAGCTTGACGGTACTTTGTGAAGACAATCCCTGTTGTCTTGCTTCTATCAGATTAATTTTTGACCGTGCATTGTCACGTTCCAACTGTAAAATTTGATTCTCCATTCGTAGACGTTCCAGCTCTGTGTTCAATTGAGTTAGGTCACATTCATTAACTGAGGACCTTTGATGCTCCTTTTTATCCATGGTGAATTTATTAAGAGCTGTAGCACAAAGAACTTCCACCTCAAGTAGAACCTCAATTGGCACCTCAACTGACACCTCAACTTGGCACCTCAACTTGGCACCTCACCTGGCACCTCAACTTGGCACCTCACCTGGCACCTCAACTTGGCACCTCAACTTGGCACCTCACCTGGCACCTCAACTTGGCACCTCAACTTGGCACCTCAACTTGGCACCTCACCTTGCACCTCAACTTGGCACCTCACCTGGCACCTCAACTTGGCACCTCAACCTGCACCTCAACTTGGCACCTCAACGTGGCACCTCACCTGGCTGCACTTCTCGATAGTTCGCAGCTCACGTTAGCACCTAAAAAGGTGGCGTGTTTTGAGTCCGTGTCTTAGTATGTAGTTTCACGCTGGAAGCATGACCCACGCTGTTTTAGTTATCCCACCGCTGCCACCAGTGTGACGAGATCTGGTTCCATGAACTTGGTAGCAATTCCGAACGACACGAACCAGGTCTCGTCTTATAAATCAGTCAACTCTCCCAGACAGTCGACTCTCACAACTCACAACTATTCAACGAGGATCTCAATCATGCATTCATCAATCACTTCAATCAAAGTAATATCCGAGACAAATAACGACAACTTACAATGATGTTTGATCTTTCAGCTTACTTTACTGCATTCCTTACTGCATCAATACAAAACACGGACTGCCCGTTCGCAGCGTTATCAAATCACTTATATCAATCTGACCAAAATGTCGCCCTCTTCAGGTTAAACACTGTAACATTCCGTCACAGTATATAGGCACAGGTCGACAGGAGTGAGAGAGGGAAAATGGAAGGAGGGAGGGTAGGGAGAGGGCTGGGAAGGGAGTGAGAGAGAGAGGGGAAGGGAGTGAGGGGAAGGGAGTGAGGGTAGGGAGGGAAGAATTAAAGAAAGATAGAATCAGAGGGATGAAGAGAAAATGAAGGAGGGAGAGAGAGAGACAGAGACAGAGTGGGAGAGAGAGGAGAGACAGAGAAACAGAGAGAGAAACACGGATTTAGCTCTTTAGTGGGTTTGGTAGCATGAAACAAGAGGTGGATTTCCAAAGTCAATTCTCGTCACATATTGAGTGTTTACCTGTATAAACCATATGGGGTAGTCTATGGTTTATATTGATGATATGCAAAGAGTTAAGAAATCAAATTTAGAAGAGATTAAGTATTCACGACGTTTAAACACTTTTGTACACTGCTGCACATACGCAGGATAAAATGAATTGTTTATTCTTCGCTGTCATCAAGTAATTGATAAAATGTAATTAATTATCTTCTCTCTTTACTTATAATACCGTCTGCAATACAGCTACCTGGCTAACAATCGGATTGAACACTTCCCAGCTTTTAGTGCTCTAGAACGTCTCAGAACCATGTAAGTTTCTCTCTCTCTCTTTGATTTCATCAGAACATGAATATTCCTTGTACAGTCAAACCTACTTTCATCAGAACATGAATGTTCCTTGTACAGTCAAACCTACTTTCATCAGAGCATGAATGTTACTTGTACAGTCAAACCTACTTTCATCAGAACATGAATGTTCCTTGTACAGTCAAACATTCTGTTATCAGAACATATATATTCTTTGTACAGTCAAACCTGCTTTCATCAGAACATGAATGTTCCTTGTATAGTCAAACCTACTTTCATCAGAACATGAATGTTCCTTGTACAGTCAAACCTACTTTCATCAAAACATGAATATTCCTTGTACAGTCAAACCTACTTTCATCAGAACATGAATGTTCCTTGTACAGTCAAACCTACTTTCATCAGAACATGAATATTCCTTGTACAGTCAAACATGCTGTAATCAGAACATGAATATTCCTTGTACAGTCAAACCTACTTTCATCAGAACATGAATGCTCCTTATACAGACAAACATGCTGTTATCAGAACATAAATATTCTTTGTACAGTCAAACCTGCTTTCATCAGAACATGAATATTCCTTGTACAGTCAAACATGCTGTTATCAGAACATAAATATTCTTTGTACAGTCAAACCTGCTTTTATCAGAACATGAATGTTCCTTGTACAGTCAAACCTGCTTTCATCAGAACATGAACGTTCCTTGTTCAGTCAAAACTGCTTTTATCAGAACATGAATGTTCCTTGTACAGTCAAACCTGCTGTCATAACCTGCTGTCATCAACCATGACAACATCACTCAACAGCCAATCAAATGAAGTTTTCCTTGAAAGTTATCATTAATGACAAATTTACCACCAATGCTAACTGTTATGCAATGGGTCTTGCTTAAGCCACCACCTCTCTTTAAAGACCACATATTTTCGTTTCCCTTGGAAGTGGTTACTCATTGAAACCTGTGTTAAAAGAACCTGTACATGAAAACCACCCGCCTTTAAAGATAAGGTTGAGTTCTGGGAAGAGGTGAAAAATAATTTGTGAGCGTTATCATTCTTATTATGCAAGTGTGGAAGAACATCAGATGAGACATTTTCCCTGAAAAGAATGACTCTTCAAATGCCTTCATATTCAAAATATGTCATGTAAAATCGTAAAACTCGGGGATGGGATTTGTACGCCACGTGTTCGTGTAGTCCCATATACATCTTTCTGTGTACAGTGTTTGTAACTTTACCAAGACTTGGCCAAATTTCTTATCATTTTGATGATTCCAGAACCTTGCAATACACACAAATTCTTATATGCTAGATGATAAACCTTTTCTGGTCGATTCCACACCGTTTCTTTCACAATGCAATCGCATGACCAGAACTCAACTTCATCTTTAAAGACCACATTTCATGTCTCCTTCGAGTAGTCTTTATATACAGTTTTCACTGTATCTATATTAAAATTTAAAATGCCCATACCATTTTTAGACATATAACTCTATCAATAATTATAACAATATCAATGTTTTTCCTACCCATTGTAATTTTGATTTAGAATTTATGAGTAATCATTGTGGTGCTAGATTGATATCCTTCATTACTGTATATTCTATTATGACTCTATTGATGTACATGCAAATCACTATATAACTATGCATGTATAGCTATTGAATACATGAATATGAATTTGGAACATATGAATAAGCATTATGGCTATGTTAGCATCAATTGAAATAATTGCATGCATGTATGCCCTGACTACTTTTGTCATTTAATTACTTTTAAAATGTGACTGTATATCAAATAGCAAAATCAATGTGAATTTGAATTTTGAGGTTGTGACTTAAAGGTACTATGTCCCATTTGCAGGCCAAAAATGAAAAGGTTAAATTCCAGTTAGAACTTCCCTCAAAACGAAAGGGCTTAAAAATGTCTTTGAGTGGGAAATAATGACCATTAGTTGTCGAATCGACTTTAGTGATTGCAATCACTAAAGTAATGGTCAGATTTTCAGACCCTTGTACCGAATGGCTGCGTTTAATTTTGGCCATTACAAGAATTGGATTACTGATGTAAACAAACGCTCATGTACCCTTTATAGCTCGTTTTATGTATGTTATTACCGAAGAAAAAAAAGATGTCAGTCAGTCACTCAATATGGGTCTGATAGTAAAGTCTAGAAAGTAAGCGGGTTTCCTTGCATAATTTGAATATTAGGACACTGCTAACGTTTAAATTTCACAGATAGGAGATGCGTGACATGTTTATAATTCCTGCAAAGTTCTGCAGAATTTGATGTTGGCTCCAAATGGAACATAGTATCTTTGAAAGAACGTTTTTCTCAACTGATTTGTACCAAAGTACTTGCTTAGCTGTGTAAGGGGTTATAGGCTCGACTAGAGCATGTGGTATTATCTAGCCCCTTTTACCAACCAATAGTTTCTCTTCTTGTATATGGAAACACATTGTATGAAATGTATAACTGTGTTGCTGTTGGTAAATCAAATCAAATCATATCAATGTACTGCAATGATATGATTACGTTGTGTGTACAGGCATTTTCACATTTAGACTAAACGAATATACAATTATGAATATAATCCTATATGTTGGTTTACTTAAATATCTTTGCGGATAACATGAAACATTTCAGTGAAAATATACTTGTATTTGGCGTGAAATCATAGTCTAAAATTAGTTGTTAAAGATGCTTTATTCTTATACATTTATTAACATATTGTGTAGTATTTTGTACAGTAGGCCTACATAGAAGTAGACAAAACTCTACATTACAAGAGCTGCATTAATGTATAACTGTTATTTGATAGATCATTGTCTGCCAATCAGATCAGAACGCTGGGACAGAATGCTTTTAGTCAGCTTGATATTGAGAGAGTCTCGTCAGTGTAAGTATGATCTCGTCTTTCTTAGTCAGATCTCAAAATTGTTTTATTTATTTATGTAAAAATATTTACTGATCAAAATTATTTGTGGCCAGATGGCCAAATTGCAGATTCTGTTATAATCGTGATAGATCAAATGGGTACATGAACTGATAACACATACATACATACATCAGGGGTGGATATAGATTTTTGCTAATGGAGGGGTGTTGGCCCCTGGTGGATCCAGGATTTTCGAAGAGAGGGGGGGGGGGGACGAAATTTGAAAATCGACTATCAACAAAACATCTGACCCACCAAGAACTCTGACTGAATACTGTACATGAATACTCCTTCTTTCAGTATCTAGCTGTCACATAGATTTCTCGTCCCCAAATCTAAGGAGGAGAATCTGCCATAATGGCTTTTCTGAATACTCTCTTTACCATCATGAAAGTCCAAAGTATTATTTTGTTATGTAATTAGCAAGGGACCTAGGAAAATAACAACAAAGCTTGGAGCGTGTTACATCATGTAACAAAAATATCAGAACAATCTGATACAGTCTAACTGAATACTCCATAGCAAACAAAAAACGTGCCTGCCGCAGACCTGCCGCAGACTTCCCGCATACTCTTTATCATGAATGTTCACGAATTTTATATAAATAGACCTACTGCATACTTGCCGCCAACTTGCCGCATTCTAGCAGCAGACCTGTGGCAACATAAGGGACTTTTAGATTTGCGTGGACTGATACGTGTGACGTCCATTCAAGGCAATGCATTAAAAGGACGTCGATCGTAGCAATCCCCATTGTCTTCGTGCGAATCTAAAAGTCCCTATTGCTGCATACTTTGACGCATACTCTTTCATATCCACCCGAGTTTTCGGCAAGGTGTACTGAATAATAACCCGAATAATCACTTTTCAATCGATTCTGCAGGGACCTATCAAACAACAACCTAGCTTGCAGCTGTAACATCTATCTCTCAGTCTACGCCATCAAAGATCAAGTGACCGGAGGAGAATGTTCCACACCGGACAGTCTGACCGGTACACTCCTAGCGTCATCGCGGTCCGCATCGCCAGACTACTTCCTAAATCAAGGGGACTACTTGTTCTATTGTAGTGAGTAGTTGTTTCCAAATAGGCCGGTTTACTGACATATTTTAATTTATGGATGTTTTCTGCCGGCGATCTATAGTGACGAGTTATTCCATTAACCTGTAATTGACGAATGAAGTACAATACTCGGGTTTCAGTCTACATATGTTGATAGTTGCTATGTCAGACAAGCTCGGGCAAGCTTTAAAGGTACTATGTCCCTTTTGCAGCCAACCTCAAATTCTGTAGAACTTTGCAGGAATTATGAATATGTCATGTATGTCCTATCTGTGAAATTTAAATGTTAGCAGTGTCCTCATATTCAAATTATGCAAGGAAACCCGTTTACTTGCTAGACTTCACTGTCAGACACTATTGAGTGATTGACTGGCTTTTTTCTTCTTTGGTAATAACATACATGAAAAAAGTTGTAAAGGGTACATGACCATTTGTCTACATCAATAACCCACTTCTTGTGATGGCCAAGATTAAACTGATTGAATCTTTGCGCAGCATAAAACGTATGACCATTGGGTACAATTGTTTGAAAATCAAGACTATTACGTTTGGGCTCTATAGCCCTAAAGTCGATTTGACAACTAATAGTCATTATTTTCCCACTTAAAGACATTTTCAAGCCCCACCTTTTTTAGGGAAGTTCTAAATAAGTATTATCTTTCAAATGCAGTTGGAATTTAACTTTTTCATTTTTTGGGCCTGCAAATGGGACATAGTACCTTTAAGCTTGCCAAGAACAACCTTTGTTTAAAAAGTATGCACACAATTTGATTATGTTAACAAACCGGTCTATTGAAGCTTTTCAATACAAACCAGGGGGTGTTTCACAAAGACTATGATCGACTTTAAGTGGGACTTAACTATGACAGGCTGTAAGTGCCACTAGATCCTCTAACCATTCCTGGCTTTGGTTTCTTAAGGGACATACAAAATTATGGTCATAAATCTACAGTATTTACATTTGTTCATTTCATTTATTTTACACATTAAAAACCAGAAAAATATACAAGGTATCAGAATACATTGTACACATTTGACACATAGAGAAAATGAAAAGCAGATACATAAGCATAAAAGAACAATGAAAATCTACATCAGTTAACAAACATCAACATCAAAACATAAAAAGGTAAGTAATGTAGATGGGGCTAGAAACAGCGAAGCTTATCGAGTCTAGCCCGGAAAAATGAAGGGGAAGTCCACCCTGAGAATGTGTGTGGCCAAGTAAAGGTGGAGTCAACCCATCCTCGGGGTGGACTCTCCCTTCAAATGTCTGGTTTTATAATTAGATTAAATTGACCCGATGAAAACATAATTGCGATTTGAAACATAATAATAATTATTTTTAAATTGATATGACTATTTAGAATTGCAAAGATATTGTTTATATTTCAACTTAAATTAATGTAATGATGCAGATTGTTTGAGACTGTCGTCTAAAGTAGACCATACAAGATAACCCTGATACTTAACACTTCTTTGGCCAGTAGCAGTTCTGTAATAAAGGCTATGCAAATTCTTGGAGTTTCGGGTGTTATAGCAATGTTCATCACTGTTGCATCTAAACCACTTTTGAAGCTGATAGTTGATAGTTCATTATTGAAGAAAAAATATCTTAAGATCATAATTGAGACACCAATGGTAAGTGCAACCAGTGGCATGAAAGGCCTGCCATAGTTAAGTCGGATTTAAAGTCGAGCTTAGTCTTTGTAAAACACTCTTCAGACCACATAATATAGGTTTTGGAGAATTCTAGTTAACATGTAAATTATTCATATCCCTTGTTAATTAGATGTTTTTTTGTGTTTATGTAACTCAAGAATGAAAGGTTGACTGGTTGAATTGAGGCCTTTGTTGAATATTTTTAGATGTAACCTTTGATATATCACATTCTCAAAGAAACATAAATCAGGACAAATCAATGTTCACATACTTAAACAAATTTAGTTGTTAATTGGATGTATGAATATTGAGGTTGTGTATAAAACCCCGTTTTCACTCACTTCCTAGACTGATCCAGGCTAAAAAAAAAACATCATCTTGATTATCATTGACATGACATTTTTCCAACATATTTATTTTAGGGAATAATTTTCAAACATACAGAAAAAGCCAAAAGTTTGGAAATACCTGGGCAACTCCAGTCACAATAATTACATACCAATCATAAAATCTAAAAACATCTTAAAAAATATTTGTGCTTAAAAAAAAAGGATATCAAGACAAACATTGTTATACTTTTAAGCCCAGTGAGTAATTCGTAATTAGAGAAGAAGAATATCGCAATTAGTAACCCTAAATTGTCCATGTATCTAGCCAATCTGTGAAAAAAATTAAAAGAAGCTAATTTCAACTGATTTGGGTAAATATGGGTATGGACAACTACCAAAAATAAGGGAGGAGGTATGGGGGTTGGGGAGAATTTGTTATTAGAGGTCAAAGGTCATTGACTCCTGTCTAAATCACACCCCAAAAAAATTCATTAACAAAATATGGTAAATGGATGATCGTGGTGTCAAAATGCACAGAATTACAAAAGAAGATGACAAAAAATAACTACTGACCCATAGATTAAAATCCTGACCTCCGAAAATGAGGTCAACGGTCAAAAATAGACGTTTTATCACTAAAATGTCATATTAGTAACCGGAAAATGACCATATTATATAGCAATGAGCAGAAACAAATCGCAGAGGCTAATTTTAACTTATTGTGGCGGGTATGGGGTTATTATTTATTCCAAGACCAGAGGGGGAGGGGTACATTTTCTTTCTGACGGTGTCATTTCCTTATAAAGATGGAGTAAATTACAATTTATTCAAACATCTTGATCTTCCTCCTCTGCTGTCATTGACTTCACGATGCCAGACTTTGTGGCCCTATACCTCACGCGAACAGGTAGCACCACCTCAAGGTTAAAGGGCACTTGCTCGCTCACAAAGAGTCCACATCCTATTTTTGAGAATAACCTCGATAGGATATCTGAAAATGAACGAAAATTACATTTAAAAAACACTATACATATTAAATAAATTTAGCAATCATCACCACAAATGATAAATAAGGACCATTTCTCATACATCACAGCTACGTGAAATATTCAGTCTTAATAGCAGTGCCAGGAAATTCATGCCAATCACAAAAATATATCTCATGACACACACTTTTCGATTTCTCAAATATCATTTAAGATTTCTTCATCAAATAATACTTATATCATCAAAAAGCTTAAATCGCCCCCCCCCCCCAAAAAAAAAAAACACGCTCTTATTATTCAGCCAAAACACATTAATGGTAAAGGCAAAATAGCAGAGTAAAGAAAATATTCTCAAAAACTGAAGACACGAAGTGGTTTAGAAAATGTGAATAGGCAGAGGGCAACCAATGGAAATGGGCTCACTCCTGTGACCTATAGTAATGTACAGAGCATGTTCACTACGATTCATGCAGTCATCGCCAACATGCATATACAGCATAAAATATTGATTGAGAAATTTGTATTTATAATGTTTTATGCGTTTGTTTTCACTACTTCTGAAATGTAATAATCATACAATAATACCTGAAATTCTGATTTCTGTCACTATCATCAAGATTATTCTGACTTGTAACAAGTCAAAATAACAACAATAACCTATTTACCCCCAAAATAGTAAGCTACGGTGTAACACAGAGCATCACCTATCATCCATGAGCAAACTAATTGATAGGATTATAAATAACAGGCTTTTTCCATGTTTGCTATCTCATGATCATTCAGCATTCATCTGTCAAAATACAGGTTGTCAAATGAGCTCAATAAAATCCATGCAAAAGTGTACCTGACTGACCAGTTTCATGAGCTTAAAACAAAAACAGACAAGCAGCATAATATTTATATTATAAAACAAATATCAAGATTTTTGCATGCAAAATATTATTTAAGGCCTCCTTCAAAACCAACAATTTCCAAAAATATATTACAATTGTTATGACCTCCATAAAAACAAATTTGAAACTTTTCAAACTTAACTTTGTCTTTAGATTCTTTCTCTCTATGCTCTTCTGACATCCACATTGATACATGTATTTCCATATGATATTATTCATGTTTATTTGCAGCAGCAGCAGCTCAAATGTTATAACAAAAAATGTCAATGCAAGCAGTCACGACTTAATTCCGTTAAATCATATGAAGAAATATTTTAAAATAGTGAAAACATCCATACCTATTCTTAGTGTCTCCAATGCCGATGATCTCCCCTTGGTCTTCTGTAAATGAGTATATCTGAAAAATAAAGAAATTAGGAACAAATATGTTTTAAAAGACACATTAAATAACACCATATTCATACAAGGAAAGGATAAAGCTACGGTCACAAAGGTTCGTACGAACGATTATTTCGTACGAATCTCCTTGTTTTTCCATTGTCTTCCCGAATTTCCATTGTCTGAAAATCGTTCGTACGGCGTTCGTAGCAATTCGTAATGGCATTTGTGACCGAGGCTTTAAGGAAAAGATGTGGAAAGGTGCCCCAAAAAATTCAAATAAAACAACAGTCTTGGGTCAAAAAGCTACAGTATGTGTTATATCAAACATCCTTACCAATCAAAAGTTTCTCAAGACCCTAATTAGAATGAAAACAAAAAAATGAAGCTGCGACCATGAAAATCTCAGAATATGTAGTTGTGATATGTAATTTCCGAACGGGAACAACTAATCGGTAGACTTTAGTCAAGAAACATTGTTGTATAGCTTAATTTATATCTTGACCTTGAGAGGGAGCTATACAACATAAAGAGTTTAATATTTACAATTTCATAACTTTAGACTCGATTTCAACCGCGACAACGATCACTGAATATTGTAGGACTGCATATGCGTCCAATATGTTCATTCGAACCAAATTCATGACCCCATACCAAAACTTTGTATTACCTTAAAATATGTCAATACTCAAAGACAATTTACTCTTAATGTCGACTAAGATAAAGCTTAAAGCAAGAGAGTATGTTTGGGACTAAATATTCATGATTTAATAATAATAGCTGTTATTCGCGCAGGGAAGCCATTTAAGGTTTAAGCTTTATCTAAGTCGACATTAAGAGTAAATTGTCTTTGAGAATTGACATATTTTAAGGTAATACAAAGTTTTGGTATGGGGTCATGAATTTGGGGAATGTGCATTTCACAAGGAGTGATTCAATGTTTAATCAATCTGGTAATTCCGCAACCTTAATGCAAACAAAAATTTTAGGTATAGCATCATCCTTTCCAAATTACTTTCACATATTTTTTTGTCGACTCAATATCATTAAAAAGACACAAGTTAGAACTGCAATGCTTATAAAACAAAAATGCAAAAAGTATTACAAAAAAAAAAACAGTCCTAGTTCATGTCAAAACAATCCAATTAACCTTGCTTTTTTTTATAATGTCACATTTAATTTGACTTTTCCTCTACAGAACATGTATTTTTTACCGAAAGAAATAAAGAATAATTATCAAAATATAGCAAAACCTACCTCCACACTAGTAGAGGGAGTCGAAGATAGTCTCCTTTCTTCTTTGATTAGAGCCGTGATTGACACCTTCTTAGTGATAGAGTAATCTCTTATTGCCGCCTCGCCCCACAGCACCACCTTCCATGCTGCTTTCACCCCCTTCTATTTGGATGGACCTCCTCGAGTATTCGGGTGTCGTTACATACCCTCCTACCTAACTATATATCAAGATGAATAATAAAAACAAATTATAATGAAAATAATACTTACCCCACATTATTACCCGTATCAGACATCTGAGCTGGTCATTTACAAAACCGTATTGCCCTAGTTTTCACTAGCAGGGGGACCGGAGGGGTATAATCTTTGTATTTTCCTTGGTCTCCCTGCGCGTATTGACTTTGCGTGTAGAGACGAGTGAAAATATACCTTGGTATTTTCCACGGTCTCGCGTCCGATCCGGGCATCTTCATTGCGCATCTATTATGCGTACGAGAACCTGTATACTTTGCGCGCACTCTATTGTGACGTAATAATCACACCAAATACACACTGTTTGCAGTGTATCGAAAATTTTGTCAAGCACTGGATGCACAGTGTTGGTTTGACAAAGTTTGTTCAGTTCTTGAGATTGTCATGGTGGATTTCTGTATTTGCTCTAGATGTCTGATTTGGATAACAATAAAAATATTGACTGGCTTTACTTTCGGGGGATATCAGAAATATTGACCGCGCTAAGACCATATTGCCCTCGTCTTTCGACTCGGGGCAATATGATCTGAGCTTGGTCAATATTTCTGATATACCCCTCAAGGCCAGTCAATATTATATAATTATTTAACAACATCATTTATAACTGAATAACTCTACATTTGCAGCGTTAAGCTGTACATAGAAATCCACACAAAATATAACTTTAAACTCAACAAATTTTGAAAAGCATAGCGTTGAATGTTTGTTTCAATTTGATGTAGAATATCAAAGTTACAACATTTCTATGATCCATAATATCAAGTTATTATCAACAGCATGCAAATAAGTGAGTTATAAATAATACCACACACTTACATTTTCTTATGTTCAGAGTGTATTATTATATTTAATTTCAAATATTTCATATTTTCCTACAATAATGTTAGTATACTGTTTCATTCCAGATGAATTTTAGAGAGTTACCATCAATGTCACTTAGTATGCTACAATAAGAAGCTTCTGGATTATCTAATGTAGACAAATTTTGAAATGTCTTAATATCACCGAAAAGTGACAAAAGTGAGCAAGTAATCTGATGTTATGACCTGACATATTTCCATATGCTGCCAACGTCATGCATATTCATTGTTCCTATTATAGCCTAATAGGCCATTTTCGTAATGTAACCAAATTTAATGCATAAGTATTTCAATAGACAGAATCCGAACTGCATACTTTATTTTTTCCAGATAGGACAAACATTATGGCTTGACGTACCTAGCAACACTTAATATATGCAGTTTGCATTCTGACTATTGAAATACTATTATTATTATCAGGTGAATGAAATAATTTGCATTGAGGCACTTCACAAAGATTTATGCATTAAAATTAATTACATTACGAAAATTTCCTATTCATTAGAACTTATTTGTTAACGCGTCTATTTAAATGTATGCATGGTATTTATATTCAAACTACGGTCTTCAGACAATCCATGCACAGTGCACTTTTCGTGGCCAGGTATTTGGGTTTTATGCAGTGACCATATTATGCACACAAATTTGTCTGCCACTGGCTGCTCCCCAATCACTACAAAAGAAATACATGAAAAGACATTTATTACAGAGTGTAACATGGGCGATTCAACAATTACAGTTTCTACAAGCAGCCGCCTGGTTCTACTTTTATCATAATCGCTAACAGGGACTTTTAGATTTGCGTGGACTGATACGTGTGACGTCCATTCAAGCCAGTGCTATAAAAGGACGTCGATCGTCGCAATCCCCATTGTCTTCGTGCGAATCTAAAAGTCCCTATTATCACCTCAAAAACTGCCTGTATTGTAAGAAAATTCGTTTACATTCGTAATGACCTGAAAGAAATGGAGCAAAAAATACAAACAAATTATACTCACAACAATCGCAACAAAAACACGAACAATAAAAATGATAATAATCCACATGTTCAGGTAGGCCTACATAACATTTTCAAAAATTATACAAAAACAAATCAAATACACGTTCAGCAAAAAATCTATATCGACATGAACATATTAAATACAAGGAGTACTATTCAAGCTGATCTGATCTGCTATTTTTGTAAATTGTAATTTGCTGTATGTTGGAGGCTTGCCGAATAAAAATCAATCAATCAACCAATCTATTATTATATATACTAGTAGGTTTAGCATTGGGTTTACTTACGGGGTAGTTCAACACGTTTGTGATAATATCTCGTGTCTTCACACTGGCAAGTCAATCATTCCTTGCCTCATTTTTTTCATCCGTGACGTTGCTATTAATGTAGAGGCGAACAAAATGAGCACCATCATCACGTGCAGATCCACTCTGATTCTCTAGGCCACTCCCTCCTTTTCCAGCCTCTGATGATGATCCGCCCCCATTACCATCCCTGATATTATCTTTTCACTTTGTCTCTTTCTAATACTTAACTTTTCAGCCACGACGATTTCAATAGTACAGAACAAATTTGAGACAGCCATTTCTCGTAATGCACGTGCTCTAACTATGATATGCTTTATACTTTCATTATGGCCCTACTACAGATTGACTAATAATGAGAATCTATCTTTGATCACATGACCACCGCCACCTGATAATGTGAATGTTGATGGGACATTCATTTGATGCACAATGTTGATTATGTAATCACGCATCATCACAGACAAAGGAACTTTTACAATGGGCCATTTTCGTAATGTAACCAAATTTAATGCATAAGTCTTTGTGAAGTGCCTCAATACAAATCATTTCATTCACCTGATAAGAATAATTGCTTTTCAATAGACATAATTCAATCTGCATACATTAGTTTTTGCCAGGTTGGACTAACATTATGGCTTGACCTACCTAGCAACACTTGATATATATATATAGTTCGCATCCTGACTATTGAATTACTATTATTCTTATCAGGTGAATGACATAATTTGTATTGAGGCACTTCACAAAGACATGTGCATTAAATTTGATTACATTACGAAAATGGTCTATTCTTTAGATTCTTTTCGCTGGGCCAGGGTCCAGAGTGTAGTTTCAGGAAAAGTATAGTGATTTAAGACCAGTTAGAGGAGCACTATATATGTCTTTCGGTATTAAGAGCAAATGTCGACAGAGCAAATGTCAGTAGAAAAATGTCGAACCAAAATATGAACTTGTCTTCTTCCCCCCGGCCTCCAGCTCCCTCTGACATCAATGTGACTGCCCCAGCGTTTGAGCAGATCTTGGTTGAGTGGTTGGCACCAGACATCCTGTACCCACCTCACATGAACCTAACTAATAGCACAGAGTGGTGAGTTTCATTGACATTGTCCTTCAGGTCTCATGAAGGTCATTGACTACCAAGGTCATATGACTTTATGACATTCTATTCTCCATCCCTTTTGCTAAAGTACAATTTGCAGTAGTATAGTCAGTGCACCTGTACCCACCTTACACAAACCAAACTGTTTTCTAATAGCACAGAGTGGTGAGTGTCATTGACATTGTCCTTCAGGTCTCACGAAGGTCATTGACTACCAAGGTCATATGACCTTTAATATGTCATTATATTCTCCGACCTTTTTGCTAATGTACAATTTGCAGTCTATATACATGCCTTATGAAGATTAAAGAATTATGTGGGATTAAAAAAAGGTTTACATTTGTGTTTGTTTCCCTTTTTCCTTATCTAATGTCATATTTGTAAAGGTATCACATTTCAACATGCTGCAAAGTACATGTTTTGGGGGCACATGATCTTTTTACGATAGGACAATGCTCATCTTTTATCTCACCCTTCTGTTTTGCTCCCCTTCTTTCCTTTAACTTCCTTCTCTAGCTATCACCCCTTTCTGTCTCTGTATATATATATATATATATATTGCTATTTCTCTCCCTCTCTCTCTCTCTCTCTCTCTATTTATCTCTATTTATCTATCTCACTCTCCCTTTATCTCTTCTCTCTAATTTTCTTTCTCTCGTTATCTCTCTCTCTCTCTCTCTCTATTTCTCTTTCTTTCTCTCTGTCCCTCCCTTTCACTCTCGATGTCTCTTTTTGTGTATATATATTCAACGCATTTAATTTCCCTCTTATACTCCCTCCCTCTCAGGTCCTATGTAATCAATTGCACCAGTAACAATGCCTTTGCTCTCCACCCCTCTCTCTCATTCTCTGTCACTTTCTCTGTCTTGCTATCTATATATATCATAATTTACATGCATTTAATTTCTCTCTGTGTGTCTCCCTCCCCTGTTAGGTAATCCATTCCACTGGTGCCAATGCCCCTACTGCTCTCCTCCTCTCTCTCTCTCTCTCTTTGTCTTGCTTTTCTATAATACACCGTATGCAATTAATTTCTCTCTCCTTCCCTCTCAGGTCCTATGTCATCAACTGCACCAGTGCCAATGCCCCTACCATCACAGGCCTTATCGGCAACACAACGGATCTTAGCATCCTCTTTGAGTCGGACGACGGTGTCCAGCATGGAACAGACTACATCTGTACCATCAGACTAACATATTTAGGCAATACCAGCGTTGAGGGGCGGGGCATACCTATAACAACACTAGAAAATATCGGTAAGTGTATTCCTGATTGGTATCAAGTTTGTTTTATGCAGAGTTTTTCTAGTCTAATATTGATCGAGTCTTACTGCGGCACTAATGTCTGGCAAGACAATTATCTGCATCTGCTTCTCTCCACCCAGGTGTAGTAAATGGGTACCTGTTGGAAGTTATTTATTGAATGCTTTTATTGCCTATTTTGAGCAACATGATATAACCTGTGACCCGTCATGCATGGATGCGCAAGTCACAACTATCTCTCTCTCAATATGCTATGAGATCCATGCACTCACCAGAGCCCTTTTTATGCCTCCGCCACGAAGTGGCCGGAGACATAATGCTATCGGGTCGTCCATCCGTCCGTACGTCCTGTTCTTGTGAACCCGTTATCTCAAGAACCGATTGATGGATTCCTGCCAAACTTGGATCATGTATGTATCTTCATGTCTTGCAGAGACAATGAACTGATTAAATATATTAGGGTCACGGGGTCAAAGGTCGCAGGGCTCATTCTGTATGCAAACATAACTTATGATCACATTATAATTAGAACCAATTGACGAATTACCATCAAACTCAAGACATGAATGTATCTTGCAGAGCAATAAACTGATTAGATTTTAGGGTCAAAGTTCGAAGGTTTTGTGGCTCATTATGTATGCAAACATAGGTTGTGAACGTATTATCATGAGAATCGACGGATGGATTACTATCAAACTTCTTCGATCAATGACCTCGTTCAATGACCTCAATATTTTAAAGTGACTAATGTGACATTTCTTTGCTAACACATTAATTTTGTTGCTGTATTTGCTATTTTTGCTTGTTTCACTCTCCTTGCCCATCTATTATTATTTTTACGTCATTCACCATTGCAACCACTTCAATCAAATGTTAGTTGTATTTATGGGAACCTATAATCTACAAGCTGAGCTTTTCAATAGGTTCCTCAAATTTCACCCTGTATAACCTACTATTCAATACAACTAATTTCGACGTCTTTTCAAAGAATTGATTATATGATGTGACACCTTTAGTATATTTCATATACATTCTAATGTTGTCAATTATGTGATTTCTTTTTTGTGAAATGTGAAACAAAATAAACTTGAACTTGAAACTTGATTTTTAAAAGTTGCTTCTGTTTTGGTTTATGAAATCGCTCTATAAGGCGGAGGCATTATTTTTGACTGCGAGCAATCGATGATCCATCTAATTAGCTCGTTCTCCACCCCTCTGTAGCCTTCTTCATTATGTCATATGATTTTTCACGTATCAAGTCTGACACTATCCCAATTATTTGACTTTTTCTATCTTCCATTCCATCCCAACAGTAGGAGAAGATGTTTTCTCCTTTTTTATATTAAAGGTATCACTGTAGAGCTGTCGTGGACGAGTGGATATGTCACCGGAGTGTGGATTTCAAGGTCCGCGGTTCAAGTCCCAACGCGGCACTAATGTCCGGCCTTTGGCAAGACATTGATCTACATTTACCACTCTCCACCCAGGTGTTAAATGGGTACCCGGTAGGATGCCAAAGCTAATGTGCTTAGATTAGCAAGTGTGCACTTGTAAAAATGACGCTCCCCAGGGAGTGGAAAATGTGCGTACATTGTGTGCGGGTAAGCCTGAATCCGATGACTGGGGTAATAATATGATTGCAGGGCCCTCAGGGAAAACAGTATGAATACTGATGAGGCTACCCTGTGTAAACAAACATATTTTTATTATCATTTACTTCATTGAAATCTCCCCCTTTTCTAACGAACTTTCATCATTCATTCCTCAGCTTCTACCAACCTCACCAAGTCAGAAGGAATGGACATTTCACTGCAGATCCTCTATTATGACTTTAGGTACGTAGTATTTATGTACAATACACTTTTAATTTGCTGGGACCGCAACAAATAGTATGACATATATGCAAAATTCAACTAAGGAAGCGTCAAGTTTTACATTTTCTGCATAGCTTGGTTAAAAACATTGAATCGACTTCATGAAAATTTGATTTGTGCGACTTCGAGTTAAGCAGAGTTAACTGTATTATTTTGATATTTATTATTGCATCACAAAGGCTGAGAATATGTTGAATGAGGGTGACAAAGAAAGAGAGAGTGTACGGAAGAGGGAGAGAGAGAGGGGGTGAGCCGGAGGAGGGGAGATGGAGTACGGATGCGAGAGAGAGGGGAATACTCAAGTATTAACACATTGAGTGATGATAAGAGATGAAAGGGGTGGAGTGTGTGTATGATGTGGAAGGGCTTGAGATAGAGAGAGAGATACACTGAGAATGAACTGGAAGAGCAGATATAAGAAACCAAACAAGAGAGAGACAGAGAGAGAGAGAGATATATAGAAACAGACAGAGAGAACATGCTTCCAGCAAATTTAGTGCACGCTGACAGTCCAGAGAACTTCCAGGGACCAGGGTATGTGAGTTAAAACACCTCCCTGCAGGGACTACTTCCGAAGCATCTAATGCCTTTTTCCCATACAAAATCAATTGTCTTTCTCACACGGTTTACAATCTTTAGATCATCTTCATGATAAGATGCATAGCCCTTTGAAGATTACCAGAAGAAGAAGAAAAAGAGAGACAGAGAGAAAGGCAGAGAGGAAGAGCGACAAAAATAGAGAAAAAGAGACAGAGAAGGAGAGACAAAGAAAGGGAGATAGAGAGACAGAGAGACAGAGAGACAGAGTGAGACAAAGAGAGAGAGACAAAGAGAGACAAAGAGAGGCAGATGGAAGCAGAGAGAGAGAGAGAGAGAGCAAGAAATTCCACAATCCCCCATGGAATTAATATTGTTTTGTCATTCCATCTATAGTGCCACTTTGTAGATTACCAGAAGAATAAGATCGATATACAAAGAAAAAGAAAAACAGAGAGAGGCGAGAGAAAGAGAGAGGCAGATAGAAACAGAGAGAGAAAGAGAGAGAGAAAGAGAGAATGGGAGAGAGAGAAAGAATTTACACCATCCACCATGGAATTAATATTGTTTCATCATTCCATCTATAATGCCACTGAACATGAAGAAGAAGAAGAAGAAGAAGAAGAAGAAGAAGAAGAAGAAGAAGAAGAAGAAAAAGAAAAAGAGAGAGAGAGGAGGAAGAAGAAGAAGAGAGACAGAGAGAGGCAGAGTCAAAGAGAGATAAAGTGAGGCAGAGGGAAAGAGAGACAAAGAGAGACAAAGAGAGGCAGATAGAAGCAGAGAGAGAGACAGAGAGACAGAGAGAGAGAGAGAAAGAATTTCCACCATCCACCATGGAATTAATATTGTTTCATCATTCCATCTATAATGCCACTGAACATGAAGAAGAAGAAGAAGAAGAAGAAGAAGAAAAAGAAAAAGAGAGAGAGAGGAGGAAGAAGAAGAAGAAGAGAGACAGAGAGAGGCAGAGGGAAAGAGAGATAAAGAGAGGCAGAGGGAAAGAGAGACAAAGAGAGACAAAGAGAGGCAGATAGAAGCAGAGAGAGAGAGACAGAGAGAGAGAGAGAAAGAAAGAATTTCCACCATCCACCATGGAATTAATATCTTTTTGTCATTCCATCTATAGTGCCACTGAAGATGATTTCGATTACGCCACCAAAACCTTAAAGACCACGCCTACTTATGTCGACAGCCCTTTTCCTGCTTGGCTGCGAGAATCGGACGTCCCGTCCAACGACACCTTCTCAGACTGGTTCCGGAATGTGGATAATAACTACGTGTTTGAGACCAACATTGTCATTCCCTGGCTGAATACATCATCTATTTATGATCCCATTAATAGGTATGTACTATAACAACTTTTTATTGCAATAAAGATCATACAGTATATTCATTTATTTTTAGATACATGTTACTATTCATAGCATAATTTTTCATAAATGCATAACAATATGCATACAGCACTATAAGTCTACTATATCAGTTTAGAGTATTCAAATTTTAGTCTTAGAATTGCAATCATTTTGTTCAAACGAAATACCTCAACACCTCACCTGGGTTGAGTGTGGCAAATGAAGATTAATTTCCTGTCAAAGGATGTTAGGGCTGTAGCAGGTATTTGAACCATGAACCTTGTGCTTCACAGTCCAATGACTCATCCACTAGACCACAGTATCACTACATGAATTCCATATTTTTGTTAAAGACAAGTATGTCTGATGGCTCAGCTTGCAGTGTAAATACTGTGATTTATATTCTTTTTGTGATGTATCTTTCAGGTACTGGTCAGAATCCTTTTTTCCTCTGGACGGTCTAGGCTATGCTGCTGAACATCAGAGAGACTGTTCCTATGTCCTTCATAACTTTGGGTAAGTTATTTAGTCATGGATGTCAGTTTGCAAATTAAGCCTTCGCTCGATTTCAAGCCCTGTTGCTTCTTCATGTTAACTATTCAGGGTCCTATTGGGCAGAACATATAGGGTAAAACATGTTAGGGTCTCAATGGCTTAATGGGTAAAACCAACTGGTACTCCCTGCTATAATAATCATAATACTATTATGTCTTGTTCACCCATGGTACCATCATCAGTATTAATTGTGTTCTCCCCGAGTGCCCTGCAATCGTATTACTACTAGATCTACCATGGAAAGGCGCAGTGTAGCGGTGAAGTGTGGCCAATGTAATTTTTGACAAAAGACATTAGTGCCGCAGCGGGACTCGACCCGCAAACCATGCGCTCTACAGTCGGTGACCTATCCACCACACCACGACTCCTCTGATTTTGAATGTTTTGATGGAACATGTAAATTTTCTTGTAAATATCCTACAGGCAAACTGTGTGGCAAACAAGGAACCGCGCAGAGAGGCAAATAAAGCAACTAAAGTGTAGATCAATGAAACACCATAAATGAAACTATTCCGTTAAGTGGGCCGTTCACATCAAAATACCCTAAACAAATTTACTCAAAGTCCGTCCCAGGTTTTTATTACTTTGATACATTTTAAATATTTAGGGCAAGTTTGAATGATTACATTCTAGAAAATGACGTCATATTTTAAAGCAGTCACATTTGATACAGGACCTTCAATATTTGGATGAAATAAAACTGTATCATGTGCATTTCCATCATCACCATTCAGGTTCACAAGTGCGATCCGAACAGGGATGCATTTCACGGGCAGGGAGGAGATCGCTGTAGGAGGAGGAGAAGAGATCTTTGTTTACGTCAATAAGATACTGGTCTTACAAGTTCAGAGAGAATACCAATCGGTTACTACATGTAAGAAGGTCAGCTTGGCTAATGCCAATGGTGAGTTAGTGTCGGGCTGGGATTTGAACCATGTACCTTGTCAGTCGAGTGACTTATCAACAAGACCACAACACCTCTACAGTTCTGCCTCTAACAATATTTTTCTTTCTTTCTTTCATAAAATAACTCTATGACCACTGAATTTCTCCAATCATTGGGCTTAATGCATGAAACACCGGCAATGGATTGATTCATCAGAAACCTGTATAATTTGCAGATTATTATGCAGCTATAAAAATCATAATATCGATTGTCGACATGTTTAATCACCATAATCCTCAAGTTTGTAATCAGAAGCAAGTCAATTGGCAGAATTTGATAATATACACATGCAACCTGATTGAACTTAATCTTATAGTAGCACTGTATGGTTAGTGTGTAAACACGAAAATGCTAAATTGTTGCCAATTTATGAGGAAACGCCGATACATTTGATTATTTAAAAGAGTCATTGCTTGTTTGACATTTTTGGACTGTTCAACCCTTGGGGCTTATTCAAATATGGCAAAGTAAACCTTTCCCCCAAAACTGTCACATTAAAAAATAAAAATGAATGGCATCTAAACGCAAGAAAGGACCATTTCGTATTCACTGAGCTCTATGTTTATGAGAAATATGAAGCGTTTTGCACTTAACGTCAGTTTTGCTGCATCAAAGCTAAGCGGGCCTTTACAGTGCCCAAAATAGAAATAGCATGCATAAATTGTTTGATCTTTTGAATAGAAGTTGCTGAAGTTTGCAATAAATGTGAAGTGTCTCTTTGTTTTAAATGCAGGAGGAGGCACAATTACACCACAAGAGGGCAGTATTGTGAATGGAGAGTGTGTTATCACCGGGAGTGTTCCCACAGAAAACATTACACTGGACCTTGTGGTGAGAAAATACAGATATTTATACTTCACAATTCAAGAACAAACTTTGAATTCATGAGAAAACAATCAAAATCAACAATCATAAATACCCCCACAACAAAACTGACCAAACGTTCGTAGGGTACCAAATAACTTCACTAATGAAGCTAAATTTCAAGACTTAAGCTTTGGAAGTAAGTAATCATAATCCTAATCCTAATCCAAATCCTAACCCTAACCCTAACTCTAACCCTAACCATAACCCTAACCCTAGGTCTTCAATGTGTATGTACATTAATTGGTGGGGTATTATAACGTTAAGCCCTAATACAATTGCTGAATTATCTTTTTATTTATAGCTGACATTTTAGGACTATCCCATGGCATGTATAAAGTTCTGTTGTCAGCTTTGTTTCAGGAGCACCCAATTACACTTTAAATTTGACACCTAAGTGTACAGATGTACTGTGTATACAGTGGCGGATCCAGGGGGGGGGGCCCGGGGGGCCCGGGCCCCCCCCCCCCCCTTGAGAAAAAAATCATGTAAAATCACGTGATTTTTACGATTTTTGGGGGTTGGGCCCCCCCCCTGGCGCTCAAGGGGGGGGGTGCAAATTGAAATTTTTTTGAGGATCAAAAAAAAAAAAATGTGCTCACTACCCCCCCCCCCCCCCCCCCCCCCCCCCCCCCCCCCCCCCCCCCCCCCCCACTGAGCGAATTTTTGGCCGGCGCGTTTTTCAAATTTTCGGGAGCAAAAAAAAAAAAATTGTGCTCTGTACCCCCCCCCCCCCCCCCCCACTGAGCGACTTTTCGGCCGGCGCGAATTTTAAATTTTCGGGAGCAAAAAAAAAAAAAAAGTTGGGCCCCCTCCCCTAAGAAATCCTGGATCCGCGCCTGTGTGTATAAGTTGTTATCTCGTCATTTTCAGGTCGGTGATGCGTATAGATTCGATATCTTCCATACGGAGAGACAGATGTGTGCTTCAGATTTCTTCCTAGAGCTGAAGAGTTTCAACGTGATCGGAGAAGAGGAAAGGATCATCGATGATTCCGTTCATATCAACGAGGGCTTGGACGTCGATGGCATCGTGCAAACTCTCTCAGTAGCGGATTATTTCTCAACTGGCCCCAACTATAATGTTTCCATCATTAGTGGTGAGATATTCTATGAGTTTGTATATAAAATAAAATGTCTGCTGACAAAATGATTTGCGTTGTTATGAGAACATTTTAGTTTTAAAAGCCATGCAGTGATGTGATGATTTTCCACAAAATGATTCTTTTTGTAAGTGAGATTCATTTCGTCCATACTTAATTAACTGTGATAAAATATTATTTATTATTCTTGAAATAGGGAATGTTTTCAAACGATATTTTTCTCAACATGATGTTTTTGGTCTGTATATTTCTAAAATTTCACAATTCCATCGTTTTATGAAAGTCACTTTCTGGTGTAGAGTATGTTGAACTCTTTGTTTGAGTTATGTTTCATTATTACACCCCATGGTATACCTCTTTGTAAATATAATTATAAATATGTAATACAAATTTATTGAACAGTACAAACCAAAGGAGACGTGATTTTGACAATATTGATTTGGATAATTCAGACCACCATATTTAATCTGGCAATATACACTTTTTGTCTATAGGTATAGTTTAGATATTGAGTAGTATGGTCATGTTTCATCTGCCATTTTCTTCCTTTTGAAACCAAGGTAACGAGGCGAGACACTTTACCATAAAGAACTACACGACAGAGAATATTAATGCTGGGATCATCCCCACCACTGTGGAACCTATCCCTACCTACACCATTAATGGAACGTCCTTTGTCACATGCTCTTCCATTCCTGTGCAAAGTAAGTATTGCGTACACTTCATGTTATTCGAATTCGTCCAAAAGGTTCAGAACAATGATGAGAAGGGAAAGGGTTGTGATGGTGCTGGTGCATGGTGACAGTGGTGGTGATAATGATGATGATGATGATTATAATGACAATGGTGATGATGATGGTGGTGGTGATTATCATGATGATGGTGATGATGATGGTGGTGGTGATTATCATGATGATGGTGATGATGATGGTGGTAGTTATGATGATGATGATGTTGATAGTGATGATGATGTTGGTGGTGATAATGATGATCATGGTGATGATCATGGTGATGGTGATAATTATGATGGTAGTGATGAGGATGATGGTGATGGTAATGATGATAGTGATGGTGATAGTGGTAATGATGGTGGTGTTGCAGATGATGAGGATGATGGTGATAATGATGGTGGTGATGGTGGTGGTGATAATCATGATGATGATGGTGCTAGTTATGATGATGATGGTGATAATGATGATGGTTGTGGTGATGATGATGGTGATAATGATGATGGTTGTGATGGTGATGATGAGGGAGATGACAATGATGATGTTGATGACTTTCGTGGTACTGTTGATCACAATGGTGGTGACGGTACGTGGTGATGAGGACGAGGATAATTGATATGATGATGATTGTAGTGATCACCATGACGTTGATTAAGATTTTAATAATGATGGTGATGGCCGTTGTAATCATGACCTATATTCTAGAATAATATTGATGAAAATAAATACCCACAAGTCTTTTTGTTACGTGGTGTGAAAAGCTGTGTACGTAATAACGTAATAAGTACTTGTTTGTCGAAAGTATGGAATTAGTCGATGTTATCAATTAGAAAATGAGTGTCCCTCTAAATCTCAAATCTGTATCTATCTGTTGTTCTATAGTCCCAGAACAAAATGAGACAGACATCCAGGAATATGATGTCTACACAGATCAAGCTCTACTCACCATCGACGTTGAAGTGGACTACGAGGTCGCCTACGACTACCTTCTCATCATCATCGTAGAAGACAATAACTCATCTCCGCCTCGTTCAGGAGAGCTAGCAGTTCAGGTATATACTTACAGCTGACACTTTTCGTGGAGGTGTTGTGGTCTAGTGGATAAGTCTCCAGACTTTGAACAACAAGGTACTGGGTTCAAATCCTTGCCGCATCACCAACGTCCTCTGGCAAGATATTTATCTGCATTTGCCACACTCTACCCAGGTGAGGTAAATGGGAACTTGGCATGAATTAATTCCTTATAAGCCTGGAGCGCCGTAATGGCAGCCATGCTAAAGCCAAAGTAATAATTGTGTAGCGCCACGAGTGTCAATAAGTCTGACAGACATGGGCGATGGACGTTTGTGCTAACAATAATCATATCAATTTATTCCTTGGGCAAGGCTCGCTCATGTGTCTCACATAGTATTATACTATGTAATGTTTTCAGGTATAACCTGAATCCGATGACAGGGGTAATGATATATCTGTTAAGCGCTTAGCGACATCGTTGATGTATTAAGCGCTATATAAAAGCGGAATATTATTATTGTGTTATGTATTGTTACTTTCTCTTCTCCAGATATACGTTGATGATATCAATGATAACTGCCCCATCTTCAGTGGCGAAGACAGTTTCCAGTTCTTCCCTCTCCCTGTTCTTAACAACGCTGAGCTGGCCGTCATCAATGCGAGTGACCAAGATTCAGGAGTTAATGCAGAGCTGACTTACCTCTCTAACGCTCTCTCAGAAGAGTAAGTGAAACTTAAAACGTATTCTTAAAGCTTTTTCAGATATGAACGAATCTTTCGTGTCCATCATCTGAGCTCAAATGTTCTGCCACGCTCTTGCACACTGAAAAGCCTTCTCATTTGCTGCCACTAGGTCTTAAAACAATACAACATGATGACTTGTGCAGGGCATGGTTGATGATCACATCAAATATACAAACTTACAACAAATAAATAAACCTCATATATATATATATATATATATGGAGAGAGAGACATTATATCAATCTTATAATTCACCAATATCTAAGAAATCGTCTTAACTGAATATACAATGTACACGCTCTTTGTTTCTTAATGAAAATGAATTATATCTTTGTGTTCTTCTTCCCAGACGTATCGGGAACTCGTCGTTCTTCTTGGTTGAGATGATCGTGGCTGTAGTAGATGCAGGGGTACCAGTCAGAGGTGACATAGCTAATGTCAATCTTACCATCAGTGATACGTGTCTCTACGACGTCTTGGATCAACCCATTGAAACCATCATCTATACCAACGAGACGACGGGAGGACTGTTTCTTAGAGTCCCCAAGTATTACCTCTATGAGTATGGTAAGTTCTACTGGCAGAATAATAATAGTACAGTCAAACCTGCTTTAGTGAGCACCTGTCTACAAAGATCACATTGTTTGTTTCCCTTGAAAATGGTTTCTCATTGAAACATGTACTAAAGGAACTTGTCTACAAAGACTACTTGTTGTGTTTCCCTTTGACGGTGGCTATAGACAGGTTTTACTGCATTACAGTGTTTGAAACATTAGTAATAATTGTTTGTTTGTTTTCCCTGACGGCTAAGAAAGTATGTTTATGCTTATAAGTAAGCAACCAGGGGACCGACTTCTTTAAGTTCTCTCCGAGGATTACCATAATGCCTTATCAAAGGGCACTAGCGCATCAAAAACCTGGCACAGTTAAGTCCAACTTAAAATCGATCTTAGTCTTTGTGAAACAGTCCCCTGTTTACGCGTTTTCCTCTCTTGATCTGTCTCTCAGATTGCAGGGATACACGGGGGATGGCTAATGGTGTGATCCAAGAAGCCCAGCTCTCGTCCTCCAGTGAGATGAATCAAAAGTATGATGCTGACAGGGCGAGGCTCAACTTGAAACCAGATCCCGATATCCCTGCTGGATCAGGTAAGATGCACTGGTGAGGAGGAGGGGGTGGGGGAGGAGGAGGAGGAGGAGGAGAGAAGAGGGAGGAGGAAGAAGAAGAAGAACAGAAGAAAATGAAGGAAAAAAAAGAAAAAGAAAAAGCAGAAGAAAAGAAAGAACAAACAGCAGAAGAAGAAAAAGTAGAAGAAGTAGAAGTAGAAGTACAATAAGAAGAAGAAGAAGAAGGGGAGGAGGAAGAAAAAGAAGAAGGAGAAGAAGAAGAAGAAGAAGAAGAAGAAGAAGGAAAAGAAGAAGAAGATGATGAAGAAGTAGAAGAAGAAGAAGAAGGAGGAGGAGGATACAATGCTACAAATTTTCTTCCACATCATCATTTCGTTCTTAGGATGGATACCAGCCTCATCCAATACCAATCATTGGATCCAGGTAGACATGGAAGAAGTCACCATCTTCTCTGAAGTCTTAACCCAGGGTAGCAATGACATGGAATACTGGGTGGAAACATTCCAGGTTGCCTTCAGTAATGATACCTCCAGCTGGTCTTACATCTTGGAGAACGGGAGTGCTACGGCGGAGAATGGGAGTGCTAAGGTAGGAATTGAACCGTGAACAATGTGATCCACAGTCCAGTGACGTATCCACTAGACCTCGACACCTGAAAAGACTGTCGATTCCACTTTTATTAAATGGCATCTTGGTACATGTGCGTTTTATCTATAATAAAACTGCTTCATTAATGTCCTTTAGCAAAACATTAACCTACATTTTCAACACCCAACGCCATGCAGTGAGGTAAATGCATGCTTACCTGACACGAATTAATTCCTTGAAATATTTGAGCACCCTAATGGCAGCCATGCTAAAGCCTGGGTAATAATGTTGTAGAGCGCAGGAGTGTCAAGTCTGACAGACATAGGCGCTATACATGTACTATGATTCAGTTGAAAACTGAGTACTGGCTTGGAACTTTCCACCCCTGAAAAAAGATGAATGCATTTATTTGCATTTGTTATTTTTTTAAAGAAAAACTGTCTTTCTTGTTTTCACAGAATTTCACGGGGAACTCTGATCAGAACACCGTGAAGAGGAACACCTTCGATCAAGTCTACGCTCGTTATATCCGAATCTACCCTCAGTCATGGAACGATGAGATTGCTCTCAGGTTCGAATTATTAGGATGCACCACAGAAAGAAGGTTTAAACGTAAGTCGATATTTGAAGTCATTAATAATATATCTTTTAGTTGCTTTGTAGGATGTAAAACACAACTATCTGGTTTTTACACTGGTAAATTGTACGAGGTTAAACCCAGTTGTGAGTATGAGCCATTGTTTTTATGAGTCAAGATTTTTAATCTAGGAAATCAAATTGCGTCTTGAAGTGTTATTACATGTTATTTTAACTACATGTTATTTTTACTATAGTATTAATGACTGTTTGAGAGAAATAGTTGTTTTTATACGCTCAAGGGAAGGTTACAATTGTGCTATTGCCCCGAGGCGTGCCGAGGGCAATAACCCAATTGTAACCTTCCCGAGAGTGTATAAAAACAACTATTTCTCGAATATTAAAGCAGTCATTAATACTTTTATATGCCGAAAACAAAAGAGTCAACTAATGACACCACCTTGGCCTTTCTCTAGTTTATCTGCACGGTTGTCTTTTATGAGTGTATCTTTGAGAGTAGACTAGATCTAGATTCTAGTCTAAGCAGGATATTTTTACAATTTTGGGGGTGGGCCGGCCCTGTGGGGAGTAGAGAGAAGAACCTGCGCTTTCATATGACACCTCACTTATTGAGTATCACCTTCAGGATCACAACAGATAAAGGTTTGAATCTCGAATTGAAAAAAAAAAATGACTTTTTTGCATGATCGAGCAATGCACGTAGACTGCATAGAGACTGCATTGCGTGTAATCTCTATGGGAAGAATGTAGCACACAACATCGGGTGCGCGATCAGACACCCTGACAACTAACTCCGGGAGCTTCCCGGAGTTACCTGACAACTAGATCTATTTTCGTCTACGTCTATGCTGGTTCTACATTTTCAAACGAACATGTTTATGGATAATTTCACGTACCCTTTTTGTTGTTCTTGCTGTCAGCGAGTCTTGCATTTGATAAGTTGAAATCTTGGGACAGTTTCTTTAGCCTTTTGTCTTGTTTGGAATTGTCTTGTCTTGTATGAAAATACCGACCAATTCTTCGCACACGTACGGTATCCTCGATCGCTCAGACCATTTTTTAACATGTAAACCTATGGGGTAACTATGGAGACTGAACTATTTTCCCAATAACCATGGTTATTGGGATTTTGAACTGTTTTAACCATGGTTACTGGGAATTTTCGGGAACAGTTAAAGTTTATGAATGCAATTTCGACCAATCAGATGGCTGGATTTCTTAAGTGAGGTATATAATTCATGTTAGTTTTTACTACATATTATATTTACTACATACTATTTTACTACACATTAATTGTACTACATAACATATTATACTACATATTATTTTATTACTACATATTATTTTATTACTACATATTATTTTATTACTACATATAAATTTTACTACATATTATATTCACTACATATTTTTGTTTACTACATATTATCTTTTACCATATATTATTTTATTACTACATATTATTTTTGAAAATCTTATTATATTATCTTTTACCATATATTATTTTATTACTACATATTATTATTGAAAATCTTTCAATGAGAACAGAATCCTCTTCCTCAGAAGACCAAAATACAACCCAGAACCGCCAATCGGAACTCAAAGTCTTAATTACCCCCATAGATAAATCAAAATCGCTAAAGAATGTGAATCCCATTACTATAGCTAGAAATATCCGTGAAGCTTGTTTTTGTTTACTACATATTATCTTTTACCATATATTATTTTATTACTACATATTATTTTATTACTACATATTATTTTTACTACATATTATTTGTTACTACATACTAATTTTACTACATATGATAGTGTATACATATTTTTTTTACTACACATTAATTTTACTACATATTATCTTTACTACAAATTATATTTCATTACTACACTATAGCTAGAAATATCCGTGAAGCTTGTTTTTGTTTACTACATATTATCTTTTACCATATATTATTTTATTACTACATATTATTTTATTACTACATATTATTTTTACTACATATTATTTGTTACTACATACTAATTTTACTACATATGATAGTGTATACATATTTTTTTTACTACACATTAATTTTACTACATATTATCTTTACTACAAATTATATTTCATTACTACACATACCTGCCAACCACTCCGATTTAGGCGGAGTTACTCCGCTTTTTTCATACCCACTCCGAATTCCGATTGCATGCCTCAAAACTCCGATTTTTTGTAATTTTAAAATATTTTTAAAACAAACGACTGTTGCATAAGACTAAAGCATAACACAGCACGACGTTGTGGCGTTGTGGCGTGCGCCTGTAATCCAGCTAACAGTGGAAGTTACAAACTGATTCAGCAGAGGACGCAGGTTCGAAACTGAGTCACGTCTTTCGGATGGTGACGTTAAAGGTCGGTCCCCAGACGTAAATAATCATATCTGATTGATACACGTCTGTAAAAACCCAATTACACACACACACACACACGACTGAGAAGTCCGAGCGGATGAGCGGACGTGCTTTTCAGAAGCTCTCTAGGAGCTTGTAGATTTCTTGTAGAATTTTGCCAATATTGTTAAAAATTGCCTCAATACCGGATAATTTGGGACTGTTTTGCTTCTTTATACTGTTGAACTTGGATTGAAACTATAGTGGATTCATACAAGCCTATACTTAGGATCAGAGTCAAAAGGTAAGCAAGTCTTGTGGGCTACTAACACATACCGCACCCTTAATTACACGGTAGACTGCACACAACTGAATTTCCCGCCCTTTTCAGGCAACCAACCACGTCATGGCCGGAGTGACAAACACCGGCCAGGGCGAAGAGCCACCTCTTTTACAACCCAATGAAGAAGATGAATTTCGAACTGTAAAATACTCTCGTAGGGAGCAAAAACCGAGAAATAAACGCAGGCGCGAAGGAAGCATTGCAATTGAAAATCTTTCAATGAGAACAGAATCCTCTTCCTCAGAAGACCAAAATACAACCCAGAACCGCCAATCGGAACTCAAAGTCTTAATTACCCCCATAGATAAATCAAAATCGCTAAAGAATGTGAATCCCATTACTATAGCTAGAAATATCCGTGAAGCTTGTCCGAACCCTGTGGAATTTATCAAACCCACAGCACAAGGTCTCCTTATCAAATGCAAAAACCAGAAACAAGTAAAAGCACTATCTCAAATTAGTAACATAGGAACCATCCCAGTAAAAGTTGCAGAAAAGCAGCAAGTTGTGAGAGGGGTCATATATGGAGTACCTACAGAAATGACTGATGACGAAATTCTCAATGAATTGAAACACCAAGGAGTAATTGATGTAAAAAGAATCATGAAAAGGTCCAAATCAAATGTAAAATCAATTGAAATTGAAGAAAGCAGACCCAATTTTATCCCAATGAGGAGTGTTATTATAGCATTCAACCGTACAAACCTCCCCAGCAACATAACAATGTGCTATCAACATTTTGAGGTTAAACTATACATTCCCCCCGTTTTGAGGTGCTTTCAATGCCAACGCTACGGCCACGGCATAGCTCAATGCAGAACAAAGATGAGATGCGTCAGATGCGGGGAAGACCACAAATTTGAGGAATGTAACCGAAAAGAAAGACCGATATGTATAAATTGTGGTGGGAACCATTCAGCAGCCTTTGACGGCTGTCTTGAAGCTAAGAAAGCCAAAAAGATACAAATAGTAAAAGTAAAAAACAATCTTTCATACGCACAAGCTGCAAAAATACAGTCGGAGCAAGAAAAAGCACAGCAGAAACCACAAGCCAACCTCCCTGAATCACATCCCTCCCTCGATGTCAACTCAGATAACCTCCCTCTTCCTCCCCGACCAGTGAGGTCATCCACAGCAATCCGCCCTGAAAACGCCACCCCGCAACTTGATCCCCAGCCCTGGAACACCCCGCTGCAAAAAAACGCACAGAGCAGTAAATTAATAGATAAAGATGGAAAAACTGAAGTAGAACTAGAAGCCCTCCCTCGAGGTAACCTAGTAACATTAATGAGTGATGAGCAAATAATCTCTTTCATTACGCAACTTGTTCTCACTTTTACGGATGGAAAATCCGAGAAGGAGATTTCATCCTTAGTGAAAGTGGCAGCTGAGAGACTGCTCAAACAAAGAGTAAAACATGACGCTAAAGATGTACTGGTATAGCATAGTAATGATGATGACAGCGCTAACCATATTACAATGGAACGCGCAGGGACTTCTTAATCACGGTCCTGAACTTATAAAATACTTAGATTCATATAAAGATGTAAAGTACCATTTAATTTGTGTTCAGGAAACATGGTTCAATGATGATAGAATATTGCAAATCCCTGAATATACATGTTTTATTAGAAACAGGGAAAATCAATCTAAAGGAGGGTGTGCCATTTATGTACATGATTCCATCAACTATGAATATCCTGTCAATGACGAAGAATTCGAAATACAACATATTAAAGTTCATGTTGCTGGATCAAAAATCTCCATAATCAATTTCTATAACCCTTGCAAAAAAATAAACGAGATTGTTTTGAACAGGATGATTAACAAACTAGAATACAATCTATTCCTTATAGTTGGGGATTTCAACTCACATAATCCTGTGTGGGGTAGTGCAAAGATAGACCAAAATGGGCACACAATTGAAAATTTCACACATGACAATAACTTTATAATTTTAAACGACGGAAGAGGAACCAGAATAGATCCACGCACTGGGAAAATGTCATGTTTGGATCTTAGCATCACCTCCCCCAAACTATCTTGCCTATGCTCGTGGGAAGTTTTGCGGCACACCCTTGGTAGTGACCATTTTCCCATCTCCACCCAGATATTATTGGACCGAGCAGGGAAAGTAAACAGCAACAGCGAGAAGATAAATGAGGAAACAACTTGGTCTTTTAAAAATTTTGATTGGAACACTTTTGCCGAAAAATGTGAACATAAAATTGAACATAGTGGCAACTATTCCGACCCTACGAAAATGTATAAATGTTTTATGAAAAGTTTGTCAGAGACTATTAAAGAAATAATGCCCCAGAGGGGAAAGAAAAAACATGACCCTGTACCTTGGTGGACAAAAGACTGTACACATAGTATCAAAGAAAGAAACAGGGCTAATAATAGATTAAAAAGACACATTTCAATAGAAAATCTAAATACATATTTGAAGAAAAAATCAGAGGTACAAAAAACTCTACGCCAAGCAGAACGAAATTACTGGCAAGAATTTTGCTCAAGACTCAACCGCTTTGTACCAGAATCAGCGGTATGGTCTACCATTAAACGGTTAAAGGGGGTATCTGTCAAAAAAACAAAAAACATGTCAGTCCTGATAGAAAATGAAAAAGAAATCACATGTAACAGTGAAAAGACTGAGGCTTTCTCTAAGTTCTTCCAATCAATTAGTAATGTTAAAGAATGTCCAGAAATAAAAGAAAACAAAAATGTTGAGCAACAAGTCACGAAATCACTGAAGCGGGGAATGGAGCATATCTTGAATGAACCATTCACTCTTTTTGAATTGCAAAAAACTCTAAACACATGTAAACAATCAGCTCCTGGAAAAGACAAGATCCCTTATCAGGTTTACCAAAAACTTCCTCAGAAAGCAAAACAATATATGCTAAAGGTCATGAACTTGATATGGGATACGGGTAGCATACCTCCCAGTCTGAAACACTCTATCCTAATACCTGTGTTAAAACAGAATAAAGACCCCCGAAAGGTATCGTCGTACCGACCCATAGCACTTTCCTCATGTTTTGCCAAGATACTAGAACGGATTGTGAAGAATAGACTCCAATGGTATGTAGAAAAGAACAATATACTTCCCCCCCTCATGACTGGCTTTCGTAGTAAACGTGGGGTCACGGATAACATTGTACTTTTAGAGAATGCCATCCAAAGAAGCATTAATGTTGGTGAATATACTTTAGCAATCTTTCTCGATATTGAAAAGGCATATGATAGACTTTGTATCAAAGGCCTTATTTACAAACTATCAGTACATGGTATTACAGGTAATATGCTCGAGTTTCTCTATAACTATCTGAAAGAGCGGACTTTCCAAGTAAAGATTGGTAAAGAAGAATCAAAATTATATGAAATGTACAACAGCCTCCCCCAGGGGAGTGTCTTAAGTCCTATATTGTATAATATCATGATGAGTGATATTCCAACAGATGAATTAATCACCACATCTATTTATGCTGATGACTGTGTCATCTGGATGTCAGGTAATAACATAGAAATTATTTCAAACAGAATACAGTGCTATCTGAACACATTGAGTGAATGGTTTACTAAATGGGGCTTTCGCCTTTCACAGAGTAAATCCTTTCCAGTGTTATTTACTAAAAACAATAAAGCAAAATACCCAGAACTAAAATTAAACAACGACGCACTTTTATTCCAATCAAAGAAGCATTTCCTAGGACTTATATTTGACAAAAGACTTTCATGGAAGACGCACATAGATGCCGTAGTCCTTAGATGTAAAAAGAAACTGAACATTCTTAGGTGCCTTACTGGGACTACATGGGGAAGCTCCTCGAAATCCCTGCTAATGGTATATAGAGCATTGATAAGATCGTTATTAGATTTTGGTTGTGAAGCCTATGACAGTGCGGCTCAAAGTATAAAGAAATCACTTGACTCCATTCAATATCAAGCCTTGAGAATTTGTGCGGGAGCTCTTCCTCTTACATCATTAGATTCACTACAAGTTGAACTAGGTGAAATGCCCTTAGACTTAAGAAGACAGATGCTGGCGGACAGATTCAGACAAAAGATTGAAATGCATCGAGATCACCCTGTCATATTAAACGTTAAGCCCAGCTGGCAAATGGAACTTTTGAAGCTCCAAAAGAATAACAAGCCATTTGGATGCAGAACAGAACTAATGAAACATTGTACTATCGAACCTTACACTATACCTAGTTTCCCCCCTTGGAAAATTAATGCTCCAAAAGTGTCGATAGAATTAAGCGAAATAGTGAACAAACATGAAAACCCATCTTATTTACGTCAACGCAGTTTAGAATTGATCAGTACCAAATGGCCAATACAACTACACATCTATACAGATGGGTCAAAGGTTCCAAGTTTTGGAATAAGTTCTGCTTCTTTTTATGTACCAGCATTCTCCTTTCAACAAGCCAAACGATTGGCGGATCACACCTCATCTTTCAGAGCCGAATTGGCTGCAATTGTCCTTGCGCTTAATTGGCTAGAGAACATTAATGTGTATGTTGGCATTGTTATTTTTTGTGATTCCGTAAGCGCCCTGCTCGCCATAAAGGATGAAAAAGATATTACATTTGTAACTGAAATTATTACATTAAGTACAAAATTATCGTATCAAGGAAAACACATACACTTAGAATGGATTCCTAGCCATTGTGGTGTACACGGAAATGAAATGGCAGATTTTTATGCAAAATCTGCTTTACAAAATAACATTGAAATTTGTAATAAATTATCCTTTTCTGAAATAAAGAGTATTATTACCAGCAAGTATATAAAACTCTGGCAAGACAGATGGAATAATTCTGATAGATCTCTTAGACATATACTGCCTACAGTAAATCAACCATATGAATGTAAGTTGAACAGATTTGAAGAAAGTATTCTCCATAGATTAAGAATAGGAGTGATAGGTTTGAACTTAGATCTCTTCAGATTGAATATACACTCGACAGGCCATTGCAATAACTGCATAGGACGTACTGAAACTGTAAACCACTTTCTCACTGAATGCCCAAAGTACATAATAGAAAGAGCTATGTTACTCGTAGAAACTGATTTATCACATCCACAGGAAATCATGACACTACTTAAACTTTCAGAAATAGTTAAACAAAAAGCAATAGTTCGCTTCGTTTTAAGAACAAAGCGGCTGTATCAAAACAATTAAATTGTTGTTGAGGTTTTTTTTTTTTTTTTTTTTTTTTTTTTAAATCTTCTCTTTTCCTTTTTCTTGCACCAATAAAGCCCACAATACTTGTAACTAATTTGACCATTTACTTTTTCTAACAATTCGGTGATCACCTCCAACATCACATGCTAGCTGGCACCCCCTCACCTATGCCGGAGTGACCTAGGTTAAAACCGAAAGTCTGCGAAATATACCTCAAAGACTGGTAAGATGGCATTTTAAAAAGGGTGGGGGTAAGTGCGAAGTACACATGTGCATACGTGAGGTGATATTTGAACGCGCACGTGCGCGTTAACACAAGTACGTACGTTTAGTTTTAGTTTATAGGCGTTTTTCATTCACAACTTGCTAGGCTGTCGTCTCTTTCCAAAATTATTAATTTATTGAATTTTCTCTCTAAAAAAAAGTTATAGAGTCTAAAAAGAAAAAAAGAGGAAGGAAAGAGGATGGAAAGAGAAAGAATCCTAAAAATAGTCATTTATGACATGAAATTGTACATATATGTATATATATAAATAATTCATAAAATAGTGTGTGGCAAAAATAGTCAACTGTGACTGATTGCCAAACAAAAACAAATCAAGAAGAAGAAGACTGATAACATACGGGGAAACGATAAACATAAGTACTTTATATAGCGAATGCCGCCTTATCACATAGCCTCCGCACACAGCGCTGCATGTCGCACGCATTCACTCATAGGTTCACTGAATTTGACTACACTGGATAGACACTTTCGCGCACATGGTCCGTCCGCCGCCATCTTGTTTAATTCCAAAACAACACGGCCGCTACGTATGCTACGTGCGTTCGTGCCTTTTGAGGGGAGCATGGGGGTAGATGATCGTGCGCATGGCGCCCGCAATATAGTAGCGAAGACTTCGGTGATTCAGCGGGCGCATTGCAAGTGCAGTGCGGTATACGGTGTGTTGTTGTTCATGAACGCCGGGCCTAGCGGCCTGGGCTGTATGGTGTGTCTGTGGTACTGGTGAGTGTACGTGTGCGTGTGTAGAATACGAGCTCTGCCATTTGACTGTGGATTCGAATTTGCCATTCGACGCTTGAACGAGGTGTTTTCTTCCTGAATATTATCATGGATTCACTCAAAAGAGCGAGTACCCGAGAAGGAGATCCTTTGACTGGAAACAGATTTTTTAAAACGTTTTTATGCACATCTTTATTTTGGACTTGAATATATGGTAGGTTCGAAATGCAGTAAGAGTGATTGGGTGTTTGTGTACGTTTTGCGCGAAAATTATGCTGCGGTGTCTTGCGTTACGGAAAGACCCCCATTTGTTACGGACAAATATGATAAATGTTACTGACAGACAGCCATCCTATAGGGTTGGCATCTCTGCCCCCCCCCCCCCAATCTACGGGCTACTACCCCAATCCTTCGGTGGTTCGCGACCTCGTAGTCCATCCAGAAAAATTTACTCCTAATTTCTCTTGTCTCAGGTTGGCAGGTATGACTACATATTAATTTTTCTACACATTATTTTTACTACATATTAGATCTATTTTTTACTACATTTTTGTAAAATACATATACAAATGTAAATCTTTATATTTATATATTTTGAGGTTAATTAAAATAAAGAGATAATTATATTTCCATTTATGGAGTATATAACAGCAAAGCACGTTGCGTATCATTACCCCCAGGCCTGTTTTTAATTAACTCAGGCAACAATAACATTTGTTTCATTGCACAGTCCATTCTCAAGGAATGCTCTTAACACCAGATACCCGCCTAGTACTCCTGGGTCAAGAGAGACAAATGTAGAGTAATGTCTTAATGCCCAAAGAATGTCTTTCCAAAGGATATCAGTGAAGTAGGAGGGGCTTGCTTTGGCAATCTTGTGACCTTATTATCGACAGTCTGTTAAATTCTGTACGAGGGTCGATCTTCTATCTCTTTATTTGTGCTAAGTATTATTTTGAATTAAGTTTAAACTCTTAATTGATAGCAAGATTGACCTATTATGTGGAAATTAATTTACTTATTGGACAATATTGTTTTATTACTACATATCATTTTTACTACATATAATTTTACTACATATAGTTTACTACATTTTATTTTTTACCACATTTTATTTTTACTACATACTATTCCTACTGCATATTATGAACATTATTGTGTTTATTTTGTATAGATTTATCACAGTGTGAGCGATGTGAGACAACCAATTACTGTATAGGGGATGGTCTTCAGCGCCCTTGCGGTCGATGCGACCCTCCATCAGATGACTGCGATCGATCTCCTACTGAACATTCATTTGGTCATGCCTCGGAGTGTACTACATGTCCTATAGGATGGGTATGGCATTCAAAGGGAACATCTAAGATTCTGACAACAAAAAGTTGAAGTGTGTTTTATTCCTTGCATACAGACAAGCAGAAATGAGAAATGTTTTCAGATTTTTGATAATGATTTTACAAGGTAGCATTAGTTTGCTCATGCTACAGAGCGAAATCTTAATTTTTGTCTTAACTGATTGTATATTAGCATATTTGAAATGAGTATACTGTAAGATAGCATATATTTCTAATTTCTTCATTTATCTTTTTCACTTCATATGAAATATTTTATTAATTGTAGGCAATAGTACAGTATATTTTATCATTTTAAAGTAATGATTTATAAGAAGGTTACATTTTGGAGTATTTGGGAGTCGATATAATCACAGCCTTGAATTAAACAGAAATTTACAAGTTTAATGAAAATAATGGACATTCAATTGGATTCTGCAAATGATTTACCACACATTTCCATGAACAATATAATTTTAATAGAAATTGATTGTGTTACATGTATTATATATTACACAATGCTGTACCTTTATGGATGTGATTAGTTTAAATGATGTTTTGTTTCGTCTTCCAGCTCTGTGAGAATGGGTATGCTACTCATTGCCCTACCTACACCTATGTAACATGCAATACAACGGTAAGTAGATTGATGTATTAAATGTATGTACGGTATTATTATCTAAGTATTGCCAACTTTGTAAAGCGCTTAGAAACATTGTAATAAAGGCTATTGAAATATAATGTTTTATTATTTATATGTAGATACTGATAATGAAGACAGTGCCTGATTAAGAAAATCAAAGTGTTTTTAATTCGAAAGTTGCTCTTTTTCCATGCAGTGCACAAAACGACTTGTGTGAATGCAATTATCAGCTTGCTGATATTAGCATAAGTTAATGATCTGTCAAGACTTTTGAAGTGTCGGGACTACTTTCCAAAGTGAAGCAGGATCGGCTTATTTTGATGGTATCAAATCATAAATCAAAGAACCAGAGAGAAATAGAGATAAATTATCTGTTTCCGTTTTCTCTTAGTGAGTGTGCAATGTTTTGTTTTGTTGGTATCCAATCAAAGAAAGAGAGATAAAGAGAGAGAGATAGCAATAATTTATTGTCTTAATTTCCTTTTTTCTCCCTCTTTCCATTTGTACATGTAGTATTGTCCCAGTGAGTGTACAACCTGCGAGGCAGGATCAGCCTGTTTTGATGGTATGAAATCCATCTGTGGAACTGGAACATTTTCACAGGGCTATGATACAGGTAAATACTCACTCTAACGGTCTTAGGGAAGGAGAGAGAGAGAGAAAGAGAGAGAGAGAGAGAGAGAGAAGGACAGATACAAAGATTAAACATAAAGAAAGAAAGAAAAAGTAAGAAGGAAAGATTGGGAAAGTGGGACTGATGAGACAGATAAAATGTTCAAAAACGTATTTTTTTTTAAAATGAAGATAAGAAAGATTGAGGTAAAATACGTAAAGAGAGAAAGGATGAAGAAGAAAGAGAAAGAGCGAGAGAGAGAAAGAGAGAGAGTAGGATGCAGATGAAATCTGAAAATAGAGAAGAATGAAGGGATAGAAAAGAGAGAGAGAGGTTTATACATGTCATATATACAAAAATATATTTATTAAAGGTGAAATTCAAAGAAGATCACAAATATTTCAACTAATGTATCACTAGAAACTGGTAAGCTTACAGATGGCCATCGTACAAGTTTTAGGTCAACTACATATCGGGTGATTTATGAAAATACAAATACAACCACCTTCATAGCAGCTCAAATATACGACAGATCTACCGGAAAATAACGATGTTTTAATGACGTCACTATATGGACTAACACTGCCCAAGCAGACGACATCCCATAGAGAATGACCATAATTGCAAAGCTATTATTTCTCAAATTATAATGAGTTTAGTGTATATAAATGTAATGGCATGTCAAACCATTCAAAAGGGGATATGACCTGATTCTGATAACTCAAATCTTTTGCTTGTAAATACACAGGATAGGGGGTTAATTAACAATCAAAGAAACCAGACTTTCAAATTCGAAAAAAACCCTGAATGATATTAAGGACGGTATTTGTTCCCTCTTGAAACGCCGAACATAACCCGGTGTGTGCAGCTTAATATACAATGGCGTCTTATTTTGTTTACCAGCGACAGATTCCTTTTTTTATGTATCGCTGCATTTTTCATCAAAATAAAACCATGTGCGGGGTTTAGAGAGAGGCAATAGATTATACATTTAGCCTGACGGTAGTTAAGTAAGAGAAAGAACTCGAGAGAAGATGAAAACACAGGCACTGAAAATGTGTGAGATGTCATGGGACATCGTCTGCTTGTGCAAGTCATGTCCATACTGTGATCTCACACATCTCAGCAGCGTTCGGAGAGCTCTTCAGGTGCTATGCCGGGGCTGTATTTAAGCGTTTTGTAATTTATAATAATCATTACTTCGAATGTTTCCAAGCATTGAATTTTGATAACCTTGTCGAATCAAAGTTTCAACTTTGCAATAATGAAAATAAAGTTATTTTTTTAAATCAATTAATATTTACTTTAAAGTAGTGCGTGAGGGTGTGAGAACGTAAATGCAAACAGAAAGAAATGGATCGAGATGGATGGGTCATATGTTGAAAAGGGAAAATTATGAATGTGTCCATGGGTGTCGATCCCGGGGGGGGGATGGGGGGATATATCCCCCCCCCCAATATTTCAGGTGGGGGGATGGCCTGTACAATCATCCCCCCCCCCCCAATAATTCACCATCAAAAAAAAAATGAGAAAAATTAAGGATGAGAGCCCGATGAGAGTAGTTAATGGTTATTACTCGCAAGATGACCATCAATATACACATTTTGCTATCTCATTTTCATAATACATACATATATACGAAGTAAATAAGACAACCGTATATGAAACAAGAATAAATTGAATTCTCGCTCATACGGCTTCATCAGGAATTGATGAATTTATTCAATTTGTTCAATCAACAGCATCATAGAAATGCAGTGCGCCAAATGCAAAGACGCAGCGTCAAAAAGCAACGAGCTAAATGTTAAGCGCGAAGCTCAAAAATAGCAATCTGCAATGCACATCAGACAATCCTGGACAGTGTAAACATAGATGAACTCTGTGACGATTTCGTGATGAGATCGGAGACAAGGAGAAAGATTTTCGGACATTAGTATAACTTATAAAATAATTCTCTAGTTGTTATGTTGTTTCCGTTCACCCTTTTTAAAATTCACGTCATTGTATCTTTATTTTTGTTTTTTTCACTCATTTTTTTTCCTGATATTTCCTAAAAGATTTTTCATTTTTGGAGAAAGATTATTATGTCACAACTTATTTGTAACACAACAAATTATTTTCAGTGGGGAAACTGAATTCAGACAAGGATTAATATAGAGAACAGTACAACGAATCGTCTTCTTTCTCTAATAATTCAATGAAAAGGGCAAAGCTGTAAAGAGGAACTGAATTCAGACGTGGATTAAGCGTAATAATCAAATGAAACGTCAAAGTACACGATACAAGCGTCTTCTTTTACGAATAATTTAATAAAACCTGAAAGCTTCCGCGCTAAGCGCGGAATGGGCGAAAATGAATACAGACAAGGATTAAGAGTAATATTTATTGAAACGTTAAAGCTTCCGGTAGGGGGGAACTGAGTTCATGAAGGACACGATAAAACAAATCGTCTTTCTTTCACTAGTGTGAAAGCTTCCGGGCTTCGCGCAGGAATGGGCGAAAATGAATTCAGACAAGGATTAAGAGTCGAGAATGGTACATCGAATCGTCTTCTTTCTTTAATAATCTGATGAAACGTCAGAGCTTCCGCGCTACGCGCGGAGTAAGGGGAACTTGATTCAAACAAGGATTAAGAGTCGAGAACGGTCCAACGAATCGTCTTCTTTCTCTAATAATTTAGTGAAACGTCAAAGCTTCCGCGCTTTGCGCGGTAGGGGAGAAACTGAATTCATGAAGGACACGATACAACAAATCGTCTTCTTTCTCTAATGTGAAAGCTTCCGCGCTTCGCGCAGGAATGGGCGAAAATGAATTCAGACAAGGATTAAGAGTCGAGAATGGTACATCGAATCGTCTTCTGTCTTTAATAATCTGATGAAACGTGAGAGCTTCCGCGCTACGCGCGGAGGAAGGGGAACTTGATTCAAACAAGGATTAAGAGTCGAGAACGGTCCAACGAATCGTCTTCTTTCTCTAATAATTTAGTGAAACGTCAAAGCTTCCGCGCTTCGCGGAGGGGGGAACTCCCCCTCCCTGCACGCAACCCCCCAGGGACCGTGCTTCGCGTGCTCACTACCGCCCCCCCTAAAATGAAATCCTGGCTACGCGCTTGGGAGGGGTGCAATTAACTTGCCACACGCTTCTACCTCTTGATTGCTTTGATCCATTGCCGAAAATATTTTGGCACCTATCATCCCCCCCAACCACGGATACATAACGACACCCTTGAATGTGTCAAAATAGCATGGTATCTGGAAGTGGTGGCATAAGAGAGAAAGAAAAATTTCATGGAATAGTGAGGAAACAAATCAATTAGGTTGGTCTTAATGAGGAGGATGGAGAAGAAATGGAGAGAGGGAGTGTAATCATAGTAGGAAAATACGTAACTCCTTGTAAAAGGGAAAATTCTTCCTTTGATAATGATAATTGTCTTGTATTGGCTTTCTATGTTTACAAGAAATACTTTATTGTATTCTTTGCCTTTGTATGTTTCTATGAAAATGGCGAATAAATTGAAATTAATAAAGAAACAAAGCAAGTCTTGTCATTTCTATTAACAGAGTTTTGTAAAGCATGTGCTCCGGGCTCCTTCAACAACGAGACTGAGCAGTCTGAGTGCGCGTGCTGTGACAGCGGGTACGGTAGCACGGAAGGCAAGACGGAGTGCGCCCCCTGTGAGATCAGTGAATATTCAGAAGGGTCATGTGACCTCTGTAAGACGTGTCTATCAGAAGCTGATTGTGAGTATAATCTAGAATAGTTGTCAGTGATATCTAAAAGTCTCATAATTTTGTGTCATCTAAATGACAAACCAAATGCACCCTCTTTCCAATGTATCTTTAGGGCTAGTTTCATCCATAGCTAGTTGAGAGAGAGATAGTTACGTCACCGGAAGTTGGTTCTGATTAGTCAGTCATTTCGTGAAGGGACGGAACTATTTGAAGCTCCTTTATTTAACCTATGACCCTGCTCTTTACCGGATACTCGTTTGTTTATTGGCCACTAAAATGTTCCCCGTGCCCTACTTATCTTTAGGAATACTTTTAAAGTTGAAAGAGATATAGTTACATCACTGGAAATTGCTTCTGTTATCAAAAAGTGTTGTGCTTTCCTTTCATCGAAATGTCTATGGGCCACTCGAATGCACCCTCATTTTAATGTATCTAGTTGAGAGAAATAGTGACGTCATAGGAAGTTGCTTTGATTGGTCAGTCATTACGTGATGCTCCAAAGTCAGTTCTCCCCATAGAGACATTGTACAAGGGAAGAAGCCATTTGACCATGCTCTTCGCTGAGTTATTGTTTGTATGATACGGGTAGCATAATATTCAACGGGTATTTCTATTTCTTTGAGTGAAATTAAATCTTTTCCACATTTTAACAATGAACAAATCACGAAATGTCAAACCTTATTCTTGAAACTGGTTTTGTAATAATGATATTTAAAGTTTGTGACACAGAAGGGTCATTATTCATATAAGTAATCATTGCTTTGAATACTTATCGAGTTTCATTTCCTATGTTATGTTGCAAACGTCATTTGATATACATTTTTTAAAGCATTTTATTCATGTTTTGATCAATTTATAGAAATCAAATGATTTAAATTGAATTGAATTAAATAAATATTATGTTCTTTTGGGTCTAGGTCCATGTTTCACGGAGCCTGGACCCTGTACGGAGGGTGTGGTATGTGTTAATACCGGAGGAGCAGGAACATACAGGTGTCTGGACTGCCCTAAGGGCTACACCGGCAGTGGAGATGATTGTGTGGATATAAATGAGGTAAGGAAAGAAGAGAGAGAGAGGGGTGGGGGAGGAGATAGGATGGAGGAGAGGAGGAGGAAACTGGAACATATAGATGTTTGACTGTCCTAAGGGTTATACCGGGACTAGAGATAATTGTGTTGAGATTTATGAGGTAAAGAAATAGTGGGAGAGAGAGAGAGAAAATAGAAAAGGAAGGTATTAGTTGGGAAGGAGGGAGGGGGGAGGGAGAGGGAGAGATAGAGAGAGGGGTAGGGCAGAAGACTGGGGGAACAGCAGCTTATACATATGTCTTGGCTATTGTAAGAGGTATACCGGGACTGGAGAAAATTCTGTGCATATAAATGCGGTAAACAGTGACTTAATATCTCTTATCGTGACACAAGGCTAATCCCCATTGTGCCAAGCCCCAAATCCCCGCGTGCCAAGTTTATTTTGAGATAATCTGATTAACGCGATGGTTCTATAAATAGCGTGTGCGGAACACACAGCACACTACAATGAGCATGAACATTAACTGCTATTACGAATGCGTGCAATCATGCACAAGGCAGTAAAGCATTGGCTTGCTCGCATGTACAAAGCACTACAACGGCAGCGTGCATGCAGCCTTATGGCAGGCTATGAGATATTCACTTGATATCATGTGAATTTGTTGGTTGTGTTTTGTTTTCCTTGTCCAGTGTGAAGAAGCTAATCTATGTTTCAATACCAGCGCCTGTGTGAACTTTGAACCCGGCTTCGAATGTGGAGCCTGCCCTCTTGGTTATGAGGGTGAAACACCCCATGGGATCGGACTCGACTACGCCAATGCTAATACTCAGGTATGGTAGCTTCAAAGTGAACCACGGTTGAATTGTTGTATCATTAATAAAGAATTTTAAAATTTGAACAATAAAAAAGGATTTGTAAAGATAATGAAACTAGACGATAATAACATAATTTGTTATTTTATTGAATACATCAGGGCCCCGTCTTACAAAGAGTTGATATCAATCGTAACTTATTTGCGATTGATATCAATCGTAACTATGTACATAAGAGATAGGAGACTGCAAACTTGCGATTGATTGGAGGACTTACGATTGATTTGGATCGATCGTAACTCTTTGTAAGACGGGGCCCTGATGTGTTATATCTGTACGTGAATACTTTGTGAAAATTGTATACAGGTGAGAAAAAAAAGAAAAAGAACTGCTATGATTACCTTTTGTTTGTTATTTATCTGTAACAAAATGTCATTATGCCTTGTGACTATGTTATTTCAATAAAAAATTAAATCATAAAACCAAAAAATCAATCATACTCACCTAATGAATTCTGCCATTCCCAATGCTTAATACAGGTAGGCAATAGTAGATTACTGAGTGCATTGGATTTATGTTGCACAGTTTCTTTGTAGTTGTATTGGCCTTACTCGATACTACCTATAATGAAATTGAATCTATAATGGAATGTTGTTCAGGAATTTAGAAACATATTTGGCATCTGTTTTTTTTTCACAACCCAACTTATACATGTAGTGCTAGATGTTTTAGCTTGAGTTCTAGTAATAATAGAAAATAAATTCTCACAAAAAATCCAACAAAACTTACAATGAATGTTCAAAATTAGAAATAAATGACATGTGACCAGGGGCAGCGATCGCGGGGGAAAGGGGGATGTCTCCCCCCCCCCTCGATTGTTTTTTCTTAGAGGGGATCGTCCCCCCCCCCCCTCTAAATTTGAAAAAGTGCTCACACAAAAATGTATAGCAAATACTGACTAAAGACTGCAACACACTTTTAGGCTCTGGAGGGCCCAAGAGTACAGCGCTTAAACAAATACAAATGAAAAAATCTTCTCACTCGGTAGCTACGCTCCCTCGCATAATATCCTTCAAAATGTACGAGTAAATACCGAGAAAATTGAAGGGTGAAAAAAAGTATATTGCTAACGTTATACTATAGTTTTGCTAAGGAATGTCATTTCTTTAATACAACAAAACCTGTGAGGGGGTAGTCACTTCGGTCACCTTCACCCCTCTCATTCACTATGCTCCCTCGCATTTGCGTACTGATGGGGGCGGGGGCTTTGGGGGCAGTTCCCCCAAATGAAATTCAAACGTGGTTTATTTCTAATTCGATACCAGTGATTTACAAATGTTGTAAAAAAGGCCTGATTTTTCTCTGACCTTCCGGGTGCCCTGCCCCCTGGACCCCACCAAGGGCCCTAAGGCGGCCCCTGGATGCTCATCTGATCGTAATTTAATGCCTAAAACCCCTGAGCTTCCGGGGGCTCCGCCCCAAGGATGCTCATCTGACCTTAATAGATGCCCAAAAACCCTGAGCTTCATCAGGCTCCGCCCCTTGACACCCGACGGGGCTTTTCCCCTGGACCCTACGCCAATTTACGTTCCACTTTGCTTTGCTCTACCTGATCGTAAATACTTTAGCCCCCCCCCCCCCCCCACTTTGAAAAACGTTTCCAGGGCCTGCGTGATGTGTAAGAGTGATGGTGATGCGGATTTTTTTTCTCCCCCCCAAAAAAAAACGTTTTTGCCCATTATGCCACTGCTCCCTCGTTCCTCGCCTAATTCATTTTTTTAAATAAGTATAAAACGATAAAAAGACAGTAGTATATTATCTACAATGTGAAGAGGAATGTTAATGTTAATTCATTCAGCCATTTAGATGGTCCTTTCCCATATATATTTCAACTAATATTATTTTGTTTGTCTTGTGAATCTGCAGGTGTGTTCTGATGTAGAAGAATGCGCTGTAGACAACGGAGGCTGTGATCCTGACGTGGAATGTATTAATACAGTGGTAAGATCAGGCCTAATAATTACCCAATTTAAATCGGTTTCCCTATTTATTTATATTTTTTCCCCGATTTTTTTTCTCCCGATTTGACCTCTATTTCCCCTTATTTTATCCCTATTTTTTCCTCTTTTTCCAATTGTTTTACTCAAAAGGGGAGAATGTTGTTAGATGCCATTTTTTTATTATCATCATTATTTCATTCAAGGTGTCATATATATAGAGGCTCCTTGAGTATTGTTGACTATTTTTTTTTTTTCTCCGCTCACAAATATTCTGTTGTTCATAGGATTCAAATTTTCTACTCTTCTTCTTCAAATCTTGCCTTCTCTTCTCTTGTCTTTTACCCTCTCCTCTCCTCTCCTCTCTTCTTCAACTCTTCTCTTCTCTTCTATTATCTTTTATTCTCTCCTCTCTTCTCCTCTCCTCTCCTCTCCTTTCTTCTACAACTATTTTCTTCCCTTCTCTTCTCACTCTCATATTTTTTTGTTCTCCTGAAAATATTTGCAGGGGAGTTATTCTTGTGGTACGTGTCCACCTGGCTATCTTGGGAACAATGTGGCTGGTTGTACACCAGCTAGAGACTTCTGTGCTTTGAGTTTGGATAATTGCCATGACAACGCAACCTGCACGTCAACAGGAGCTGATACATTTACTTGTGAGGTAAGAAATATATATTTCAAATCATCTTCAAGTGACATAATTTGTTGACATACCTTCATGACTTGTCGTTCTCAATAAAAACATTAATTTAGACAATTAAGGGAAATACAAATAAAATTAAAACAAAATATATGAAATAATGCAATGAACAAAAAAGAATCTAAACTTTCATGCAAACATGTACTTTGTCACTATCATGTCATCCCATATATAATGTCACTCTAGATTTTGGTCATGTATATTTTTCATGCATATTGTATTTCTATAATTACTATTCTCGTTGTTATTAAGTCTTTTCTGGTTTGTAAATATCCAGTGTAAAATGTTTATATCATCTTTATATGGACGAATACAAACATGGAATTGAATTCAAATTTCTCCCAGTGCAATGATGGGTATGCTGGTAACGGTGAGTTCTGTGGAGTCGATATCGACATGGACGGCCGACCTGTAGTGTCGCTTGAATGCAGTGATGGTTCAAGCAACGAATGCAAGGCAGACAATTGTGAGTTTGTACCGAATAGCGGGCAGGAGGATGCCGACGGTGATCAGATCGGAGACGAGTGTGATAGGGATGATGATAATGATCACATCTATGATCAAAAGGTGAGCTAATTTTGCATTTATTTAAAGCCCCTCTGTATTAGTTTGGCTAGGAGGGATTAGACCTCCCACCATGGTCACCGACATATGGTTATCTCATCAAATCAGCTCACAATTAACATAAGAAAAAGGGGATCATGGAAGACCAATGGTCACCGATAAGGCATTGTTTGCTATAGAGAGGGCACAATTAGCTATAAATAGTGCAGTAAGGCTTTAATCAGTTTAATTATAATATAACACCTCACCTGATGCAGAAGCTTTGAATTTGAGAACCATAATTTTTAATGTGTGTAATTACCAATTTATTATTTCTTTGTCCCTTTTTTTTCAAATATTTTTGTGCGTTAGTTTTTGCGTTTTGTGTAGGATCATGTACCTATAAGTTTCTGTAACTTTGCGATGATCCACCCACTCGTAATCTTCTTTAGCGTATTTTCCATTTTATTGTCTTATCCATATTTGTAGAAAATATTTCATTTTATTCTTTGGGCTTGCAGGTTTTTATGGAAGTGGTGAATGAATTCAACTCCATTCAATTCAATTTTATTTCCTTTATAGCCCAATTCTTTAATCATTCCTAAAAAATGGGCGTATCATAAATAACTGTCAGTATGTGAGCAATTAAGTCAGAATCAAGGTTACACGGATGGTGGTGGCTTTATACTTAAATTACCATTACAAAGATAATAGTCATTGCAATTACTTTTTTTTCTCAGGATCATTTTTGCTACCAGGTATGTATAATGGATGGCTAGATAATACTCACTACTATTACATTGATAGTCACAATTTTTTGTAATGATAATAGTCATTAATATTATGTTATAATAACATTCATTATTATCATTTGCCATTACAGGATAACTGTCAGTATGTATCCAATCAGAATCAAGTTGACGAAGATGGAGACGGCTATGGGGATGCTTGTGATGTCTGCCGTAATTTGACCTTTGATCGGGACCAGGTCGATACCGATGGTGACGGATTGGGGGATGAATGTGATGATGATGACGATGGAGATGGTAAAAAGATTTTTTTTTTTTATCCTGACTCACCGTTTTGTAGATTTATATTAACATGAAAGTGATAGTTCTATATATTATTTTCCATGCAGAGGGTTTGATAAACATAATTCTATCTTGGTGTTTATCTACCTCCCTGTCATTCTCTTTCTATCCCCTTATATCACCTGGTGGTGTTTCACAAAAACTAAGATCAACTTTAAGTTGGACTCAAAAATGGCAGGCCTTTCATGCCACTGTTTCCGACATTTATCGGCATTGGTATTTCAAGGGACGTACAAATCATGGTCACAAATCTACAGAATTTTCATTTTGGGGTAATGCCATATTGAAGGAAAAAATATTATGTAAAGATCATAATGGTGAGAGCAACCAATAGTATGAATTGCCTACCATAGTTAAGTCCAACTTAAAGTCGATCTTAGTCTTTGTGAAACAACCCCCTGGGTTTCATATTAAATGATTTTGTTTTCTGATTTCTTTGTAACATATGGATAATTTTCACAGATTGGATTTCAAGAAAAATGTCTCTGAGAAGATGTAGGCCTACATAAGAATAAGATCATCATACAAAATAATCACCTTTTTATGAATAGGGATCGTTTACAGCCTGATAACTGTCTTCAGTTCAGCACCACTGATAAGGGTCCTGTTTCATAGAACTAGTTATCAATAACAAGTATAACAATCACTGTTATAAGCTACGGAAATCGTGGCATTTGATTGGCTGAGAGATAATTTGCCATATAAATTTAGCATTTGTTATTGATGGGGTAGGGAATGACTGACCAGTGACCCAGTTTTAAACCTTCTTTGACCTTCAAACCTTGTTTTCTCTTTGTATAGGAATTCCAGACAACTTAGATAAATGTCCTCTGTACAACAGCACTGATCAGAGGGACTCCGATTTTGACGGATTTGGAGACGTCTGTGACAACTGCCCAGATAACTCAAATCCGACGCAGACCGACACGGATCAAAATGGCTTCGGAGATATGTGTGATGATTATGATGGTACCAATATAGACCGGTAAGAATAATCGCATCAGGGGGGGGGGGTGCTTCACAAAGACTAAGGTCGACTTTAAGTTGGATTTAACTATGGCAGGCCATTCATGCCACTGGTTTCTGTCACCATTATGATCTTTAGATAATAATTTGTTCTTCAATAATTATCAACCAATGTAAATTCTGTTCATTTGTGACAATGATTTGTATGTCCCTTGAGAGACCAATGCCAGTAAATGTTGAGAGCAAACAGTGGCATGCATGTCCTGCCATAATTTAAGTCCAACTTAACGTTGCTCTTAGTCGTTGTGAAACACTCCCCTTTTGGTTACAAGGTGACTATCTCATTTTTTTCATACAAATAAAATCTGAAGTGAATAATAAAGATAATGATAACTATGAGGATAAATTATTGATATTCTTTCCTAGTACATTTAGATGACAAATCATTCTAAAACCAAGGTACAGTGTATATGCTTCTTTGGTTATTTGTTTGATCGGGAATGAACTCGATAATCATTTTAAGTCAGTTGAAATCAATATGTTCTTGTCTTTATTGGCCATATCTATACGAATGTGCCTCAATCGCAAACGGTTCATGTATGTTTGTCTTGTTTAATGCAACATTTATGTGCTTGTGTAAAGATTCCTTATTTGCTCCCTTTATCCTGTTTGTTTCAGTGATGGTGATGGGATAATTGATATTGCTGATAATTGCTTGGTTATACCCAATGCAGACCAAACAGATACAGATAGCGACGGCGTAGGTGAGTTGTTTGGAGTACATGTTGCATGTTATTACAAATTGAGCTTGTTTACTTGAGAAGAGGGGGGATTAGAGAGAGAGAGAGGGGGGTGAGAGAAAGGGAGAGGAGGTGAGAGAGGGAGAGAGAGAGAGGGGTGGGATAGATAGAGGGAGAGAGATAGAGAGAGAAAACCAGGGAGAGAAGTAGAGAGAGAGAGAGAACTTTCGGAGAAGTAGGGAGAGAGAGCGAGAGAGAGGGAGGGGTGGAGGGAGAGAGTAAGAGAGAGAGAGAGAGAGAGAGAAGTAGAGAGAGAGAAGGGAGGGTTGTGTGACATTCATAATTACTGCTTTCTGATAAAGAGGTAATTGCAAAGAGATTCATGTGACCTAAGAAGAGATAAGATACATTGTCTATAAAGAGCAGGAGAGGCATCAACTCAGTCCTGAAGTACATGAGTGAGTTAAAACCTGTCTTGCGCCTAACAAGACACATTTTCTCTAAAAGTGTGATTTTGTTATATCTAAGTTGTTTCACATCTATGGTAGATAGCAAATGATCAGGACCTGTTTCACAAAGCCTTTTCAATGAAAAAATTACGAAAATCAGTGACAAATCCGCTGATAACCAATCAGAAGCAAGGATTTCACTAGCTTATAACAAAAGCTGTCATTTGTCACTGATGACAAGTTTTGTGAAATGGGGACCCTGAGCCACGTTTTATAAAACTTGTTATCAATAACAAATCCTAAATTTCTATGACTAATTTGCTCTCAGCCAATCAAATGCCACAATTTTGTTCATGGTTCCGATATAATTCCTTCATTCGTTTTTTATGGTATCTTATTGCTTTTCCTTGAAATGTTCATTGTTCGATTATTTACTTCTTATTTTGCTTTTGTGCATTCGTTTGAATTGTTCTTCGTTCTGATATAATTCCTTCATTCGTTTTTCAGGAGCTGTTATCAGATATTGTAACTTGTTATTCATAAACAAGGGAGGGTTGGGTGAGTACATGGGTATGTTTATGTGTGAGAAAGAGAGAGAGATCCGAGAGAGAGTAAGTTTGTGAGTGAGTGAGAGAGTGAGAGACTCAATGAGTGAGTGGTAGGGATATAGAATTTTCATTTATGATGTCTGTTTTTATTTACATTCGCGGCAAAGGTTGAATATGATCTATAATGAAATGATCATCCATATTAATCTTTTCTTTCTGTGATGAATTGAAGGTGATATTTGTGATGATGATAAAGATGGCGATGGAGTTCCAAACGGCTCTGACAACTGCCCTCTGTATTCCAATGCTGACCAGGCTGATGATGATGGTATGTACATATAAATACACCAGTTCACGGTTACAACAGTGCGCATATGCAGACATGGGCACCATTTTAATAGACGGGTAAACAAACCATTGACCTCTAGAGGTCAGTGGTTTAGGCGTATATAAAGACGGCGCCCATGCAAATATGATGTGAGCGCACAGCCCGTCTATTAAAATGGCGCTCATAACCGTAAACTGGTATATTGCTCTCTCCCCTTTTCTCTCTACACATTTGTGCTCTCGCTTACATGTACATCATTCTGTACCTAATAATCTTTCCCTTCCACCCCCCCCCCCCCACCTCGTTATTTCTCTCTTGTCTCCCACCTTCATTTTTCCATCTTACTACTAAGTTATCAATATGTGACAGCCAAATTATTTCAGCTGTGTGCTGCCTGTAAATCATTTTAATAAAGTGTATATATTTCAAAGTCTCATTCATTTGTTTCTGTGTCATGATCTAGGTTATCTCATAGGACATTCGAATGAGACAGATTATAAAGAAAATGACGATGACATCTGGATCAAGAGCTATTAATTGATAACACACAATAAACCTTGACCTCTGCATTTTAATGTTGTGTCTTAGGTGTCCTTGGTAACCTTTGACCCCTACATCTCAGTCCCATCTATTTGTTTCTATGACATGTTTTAGGTAACCTCATTGGAGATGTATGTGAGACAGACTATGATGGTGATGGTGTACTAGATGGCAATGAAAACTGTCCCAAGAGTAATCGCTACCACACAACGAACTTTGACCCCTACATCTCGGTCAACCTAGAGACAGTTGATGATCCGCCATCTTGGTATTTAACAGATTCAGTAAGTTATTGCAATTTGATTTTTGAGGAAATAATATGGGGCATTGTGTGTGTAAACATCTGGCATGAAAAAATGAACAGTTTCATGAAAAAAACTCTACCACTTTGTAATGATAAGTTACTTCTTTAAGGAGTTCATTTATCTCTATTTTTCCAACACTTACTTTCTCTAGTTCTTTACATTTCCTTCTTCTCTTATGTTTTTAAACAGTTCTACCTCCTACCATCACTCAACCTTCTCCTCTATTCGCTCTCTCTTTCTCCTTCTCTCTCTCTCTCTCTCTTTATCTCTCTCTATCTATCTCATTCTAGTGATAATACATATGATCGTTTCAAATGGTCTCCTCTCTCTTTCTCTCTCTCTCTCTCTCTCTCACCCAGGGCAAGGAGGTACATCTCTTCAACTCCTCCTCCATCTCCTCCCCCGTGATGCTAATTGGCTCCGACACCCTCGGACCGGTCGACTTCCGGGTCACCATGTATGTGAACGGAGATGATGGCGGGAACTACATGGGCTTCGTCTTTGGCTACCAGAGCAATAGGAAGTTCTACGTAGCGATGTGGAAACACATCAACCTCAATAAGGAAACGCAGTATGCTGGTATCAAGGGATTGCAGATCAAGGCAAGTCTTTCCACACTTTCATTTCAGAGAGATCCAATTAGGGTTACAGTGATTTAGTTTGCTTTGCCTCTCAGGCACAGGTGACGCCAAATAATTAATAATGATAATCATGATTGCGAAGTAAATGCCACCTCAAAATGTTGTATTGACAGATTGAATAATGTATTTCAGTTGATTAAATCAATTTTGAATTTTTCTTTGAAGAACAGAAGGTTCATTCGACAACGGGACCTGGTATAACTCTAGCAAATGCTTTGTGGCATTCTTATACAACATCCAACGAAGTAGAATTGATGTGGCACGACCCGTTAATGCAGGGATGGCAACATAGGACAGCTTACCTATGGAGACTTACTTATAGACCATCTATTGGCATTATTAGGTATGTTTACAGTAATGATGATGGTGATGGTGATGATGATGATGATGATGGTGATGATAAGGAAGATAATGATGATGATGAGGATGCAGATGATGATGATGATGATGAAGGTGGTGATAATGATGTTAGGGATGATAATAATGATGATAATGACAATGCCGTTGCTTCTGCTGATGATGATGATGTTGATTTGATTACGATGATGCAGATGATGATGATGGTTGTAAGAATGTTTACGATGGATATGATAGTGAGTTTGCGGATGAGTTTGTATGACACGATCCTGTCATGTTTATATAAGAAGATCTCAAGCTTATTCATTCATTATAGCAATATAGGTTATTTTGTTGTCAATAGTATATTAATTAATTATGATTCATAACTAGAAAAGGGCAATAGTTGGATAAAAAGAGCGATAATTTGATAAGTAAAAAAAAATAAGAGGCATAATTTAAAGGTTTATGTTTATGGTTGCAGCATGAGCTAATTCCACGATTTTGTTTAGAATCTGAGTGAAAGATACCCAATCCCTTAAACTAACACCAAATTTCAAATCCAAAATCTTAAAGCCAAGAGAGGGTCCCACATGCTTTGAAATCTGGTTAAAGGCATCATCATATTTTCTTTCCCTGTTTGTGTTTCAGGGTTACCATCAAGTCTGGTGATGTGACCTTGACAGATACTGGTGACCTCTATGACACGACCTTCCTAGGAGGTCGTCTTGGAGTCTTTGTGTACGATCAGCCCGATATCATCTTCTCTCATATGAAATATGATTGTGCAGATAGGTAGGTATTACTACTCTATTATTAGTTCTCTATTGTTTTCTACTAAATTGCACTTGTGGCAAACAAGCAACCGCGCAGAAAGATGAATAAAGCAAACAAAGAGTTAAATATGATATTTGCAGCTCTATTACAAACTTTTCTGACTTCTGTTTTGAACTGTGTTTGCACATGAAAAAGACATATATAAAGCATATATAAAGTTGAATCAGTATTATATATCACAATGATAATAATTATTTACATTTTTATAGCACTTGATACTATTTTTTTTTATTCATACCTGAATTGTTATGTGAATTGGATGCGATAGCTTTTTTGCATCAATTATAATAGTAATGCAAATCTTATATTTTTATTTACCAGGTTAAATCAAGCTCTCAAGTTTGATGGCTCTGATGATTACGTCATACTGCCTAGTATACAAACCCTAGACATCGATGAGAGTTTTACATTGGAAGCCTGGTGCTACCTGGAGGCCGGTTACCCCAGCACAAAGCTACCAGTGTTTAGTGCAGCAGATAACAGTGTGTATCTTACCATAGAAGATGGGTAAGTACTACATTGCTGGTCTAGTGAGTGAATTTTGCCTTTGGTTTAGGTGTTTCTACTGGTTTGTGTGTATTAAAGAAGAGTGTAGAGACAGGATACGCCAGCAAAAAGGTACCAGTGTTTGGGGCAGCAGATAACAACTTGTTTATCTTACAATTGAAGATAAGTAAGGTGTTACGCCTATATCACAGTGAAATGATTTATTATTTGTGGTATCGTTATTGTTCACATGTATTAATTGTGTTCCTGAGGTTATGGTTGATTACTTCAAAGCATGACTACAAATAACAAAAATAGGGTAGGTTTTAGTTTTTGAGAAAAATCTTTGAGTGGTTACCTATTTTGAAATTGTGATAAATGAAATCCATGAAACTGTTAGTATTTTCAGTATACTGATATCAATGAACATTGATATGATATTGCTCTTAGCTCGATAAATCATGTTTTCCTTTGATTGTTTTGATATCCTTTCAGCTATGTCTATGGGAGGTACGGTAGCTTCTTTGTGAATGCTACAAGCAGTCCGTTGGTAGAAGATGCCTGGAACCATGTAGCTCTCAGACTAGACGCACAGGGTATGTTCATCTTTACCAGAAGCTGTTCTAGAGGGGGGCCAGGGTTCAAGTCCCCCTTATCAACAAATTGTCTTAATCATGAATTAATGTAAGCAAGGCACATCAATGCAAGAACCTTAACCCCCCCCCCAAAAAAAAAAAAAAATAAATAAATAAATAAATAAATAAATAAATAAATAAAAAAAAAAATAATAATAATAATAAAATAATAATAATAATAATAATAACAATAATAAATAAATAAATAAATAAATAAATAAATATTTATAAAAAAATAAAAAATAATAATAATAATAATAATTAAATAAATATACAAATAAATTAAATTACTTGATTATTAATAATTTATGTGAGGCACTTTAAAAAGAAAGCCAGAACCCACAATTCCCCACCCTCCTAAACTCCTCCCTCTAAAATCATTCTTCGAAAATTGCGCCTGATCCTAATTCTTTATTTGCTTTATTATGTACACTTGATTTAAATTTTATATTGTACCCAAGACAGGTGTCACGTCTTCGGACTGTTCGTTCTTGGTTTTTGATGTGATTTGCTTTGATTTCAATAAATCCTATATATATATATATATATACATATATATTACTGGAGGAGCCGTTCAAATACATTTTCCCACGTATTTTTTAATTTGCTTGATATTATTGTGAAGATATGCGATTTACATTTACATGGAGGATTGAAAACAGATTATTAGATGCTGCATTCACAGTTCCCTGGAAGTTGATGGCATGAGAGGGAAAGGAAGACCGAAAATTCTATGGAAAAATATGGTGAAAAAAGAAAGCATTGAGGATGGTCTAAATGAGGAGGGTGCTCAAGACAAGAAGAAGTGGAGGGAGGGAGTGTCATCATGGCGCAAAAGTCAGTAACTTGTAAGAGATAAAATAATGACTTTGATGTACACTGCGTCCCCCAAAAAAAAGGAAAGCGAGAATTATCGATGTCTTATCATAATCTATTCACATTTATAATTAATAAATGACACATGTTTGGAAAGCTTAGATCATCCTCTTTCATGCGATGCCACTTATATAATGCATATTGCACGCATGAGTGATTAAAATGAATTTGAAGAGAGGAAACCAAAAATTCATTTGGCGGACGGTATCTAAATTTCAAAGAGAAAATCAAATTTCTAGAAAGTTAAGTCTCTGCCCTTTCATATGACATCTCAATCAGGAAAAATGAGCAAGGAATGACAAAGTTATGTTTGTTTAAAGTAGTGCTTGCATTTCCATAATTTTATCAAATGAATTCGTTTTCACTGGCTGCCTGCCGTAGCAACTAGCAAAATTGACAAAAGACTTAACTCCGTTTCGTTGACAATCAGCCATGCATTAAGTCTGTCGTCTACGGCTGATTGTCAACGAAACGGAGTTAAGTCTTCTGTTAATTCCTTTTCTTGCTACGGCAGATAGCCAGTGAAAACGAATTCGTTTAATAAAACTAAGGAAATGCAAGCACTACTTTAAACAAACAGAACTTTGTTATTCCTAGCTCATTTTTTCCTGATTGACGTGTCATATGAAAAGGCAGAAACTCAACTTTCTAGAAATGCGATTTTCTCTTTGAAATTCAGATACCGTCCGCCAAATGATTTTTTGGTTTCCTCTCTTCAAATTCATTTTAATCACTCATGCGTGAAATATGTATTATATGACTTACATCAAATGAAAGAGAAGGATCTAAGCTTTACAAATATGTGTCATTTACTAATTATAATTGTGATTAAGTTATGATAAAACATCGATACTTCTCGGTTTCATTTTTTCTGAGACGCACTTTATAGTGATGATGATGGGTTATTACATCTAGATCGTTGTTAATAAAGTGAACAGTAAGCCTACTTTAGGATTTAGAAGCAAAGGGAGGAATTAATGTCCAAAGATTTTGATGCTATTTCATTTCTTTTAATCTCCAGAATGCATCTTATCTGTGTTTGTGAATGGAACGTTAGAAGGTGAAACCACCAGTGTGCCAGCTCGTATATGGGTAAGTAAATCGAAATCTACGTTTGTTTCTCTGAAAGTCTAAATTTCTCTTTCCTTACGTATCTTTTTTCAATTTATATCTTTGTGTACATTTTCGTATCTCTATATATCTTGCTTGTTTTCCATTTCTAATTCTAATTTATTTCCCTCCTTCCACCCCTTCTCTCTCTCTCTTCCTTTCTTTCTGTCTCCAAATCATGTTTTATTTCCCCCTTTTTCTCCTTCATTTTCTCAGTCTTTATCTCACTCTTATCTCCCCCTTTTCCTTGTTTTCTTTTTCTCACTCCTTCTTATCATAAACTAGCATGATCGATACCTGTAGCATTGATTTTCAATGTAAATGATTGTAACGTATTTTGTCTTACAGGACTCTGATGTTGATTTATATGTTGGAGCTGATAACAGCAGTAACCTATTCAAGGGAACAATGGATGAGGTATGTAAGACTATTTTTTACATAGCTGCCAACCATTCCTATTTTTTTTTTAGAAATGATTCATATTTTTTGGCCTTCAAGCTATTGTCTTCAACCTCTCTATTTCTGAAATATTCTGTGTATAAAGTAAAGAAAATATACTTTATTCATAATTTTGCCTTGGAGAGATTCCTAATTTTTGCTGGGACAGGATGGCATGTATATATTTATTTCTAAAAACAATGATTTCCCTTACAATGTTTACACCGTCATATAATGTATACAAGTAAGGGTCAAAGTTCCAAAGAGGCAGTACAATATGCTATTTTCGTAATGTAACCAAACTTAATGCATGCGTCTTTGTGAAGTGCCTCCACGCAAACTATTTCATTCATCTGTTATGAATAGTTGTATCTCAATACTAAGAATGCGAAGAGCATACAGTATTTGTTGCCAGGTTGGACAAACATTGTGGCTTGCCCTACCTAACAGCAAATAGAGTTTATACTCTGACAACTGAAATACAATTATTCTTAAAGGTAAAGGTAAAGACCAGTTTTGGAAACGCCCCCCTCTCAAAAAATGAAATGGAAGCTCTTATTACCAATCATGTGAAAGTATATGTTTTGACTAATACGCGATGATACAAATTTTGCCAGGAAACCGCCTACTAATTGATATGTTTGGTAAATTATCATATCTATCCCGCCTGGATAGATATCGCGTAGTTCCATACATCTTTCTGTGCACAGTGCTTGTAACTTTACCAAGACTGGGCCAAATTTCTATTCATTTTGATAATTCCAGAACCTTGCAGTACACACCAATACTTACATGCTAGAAAATCAACCTTTTCTGATCCATTCCACAACGTTTCTTTCACCCCAAAGATACGCATTAAATCTGGCTTCATATATGGGGGAATGATCGAAACATGCATAGCATTCTGCCTGTTTAATCCTTTCTGCGTCTTTAATCCTTTCTGCATCTTTAATCCTTTCTGCCTCTTTAATCCTTTCTGCATTAGGTCAGAGTCTGGGGTCTAGCTCTTCTGGACTCTGAGATCGAGGAACACATGCAGCTTGCTGGGCTGGACTGGCAGAAACACAAGAAGCTGCTTGATGGGCACTATACCATGGATAGCGAGAGTGATGGTAAGTAGCATGAGGCTTGAACCTAGGACCTACTCAAGATTCCTCGTCATGAAGTTTAGATGATGTTGCTAATTAACAGCTCTAGGGACTTTGTGTTGTGCATGTTTGACTCTTCAGACTGGAATAGGACAATGAAGAGTTCGCATGCATACATGGGGCTTTATATAGTGAAGATGGAGGAACTGTGCGACTGTGGGAGGAACAGACGAAACACATTTTAGGCTGCTCCTTCCTCAAAGATCCCTGTACCCCTAAAGACCTTGAGGGTTTAATGCCTGTGTCCTTCACTGAAATACCTTCCCTGGAGTACCTTCACTGGGATACCTTTTAGAAATCTGTACCCCAAAAGGCATAGAGGGTTTTAACGCCTGTGTCCTTCACTGAAATACCTTCCCTGGAATACCTTCACTGGGATACCTTTTAGAACTCTGTACACCCAAAAGGCAAAGAGGGTTTCAACGCATGTGTCCTTCACTGAAATACCTTCTCTGGAATACCTTCACTGGGATACCTTTTCGAACTCTGTGCCCCCAAAGGCCTAGAGGGTTTCAATGCTTGTGTCCTTCACTGAAATACCTTCCCTGGAATACCTTCACTGGGATACCTTTTAGAACTCTGTACCCCCAAAGGCATAGATGGTTTCAATGCCTGTGTCCTCACTGGACCCGGGTTTTACAAGATGAAGACTCTTCAGTGTTCCACTCTGCTCTTCTTAGAAATATGATGTGACTTTATATGAAAGAGCCAAAGATTACACAGAATACTGAGGGTTGCACACAGAATACTGAATTTAACCCTTCCAGTGCTGCAGGCATCAAACTGCCAAAATATAAATTAAATTTCCTTAGTTTGAAAGAATAGTGTTTCGTTTGGATATAGATTCATGATTTGTGAAGTCATAGACAGTTATGTATTTTTTCCCCTCGATACAAAACGGCAAAGCACTGCATCTGAGAACTGTTGTGTTGTTATTTCTGGAAAATAATGATTTGTCAACATATTTACTGATTTTCTACCATTAGAATACTTAAATATTCCAATGAAAGTCTGCAGCTTTGCATTCAAACTTTGACTTATCTTTTTATGTAGGTTCTACCATGCTCGTTGACCATTCCCTCTATGATAACCATGGTTTGATCGTAGGAGAAGCAGCGTTTGTTCCAAGTACTCTGGATGCTTGGAGGTTTGAAATCACGTACCCCGATTCAAGGCGGAGAAGAAGACGGAGAAGCGCTGATACGCATACAGAATTATGATCAAAACTCAAGAGTAAACAAACGGCTAGAGAAAGTAGCTTAAGTAACTAGCAATGTTAAGTATGAAGACAGGGGATTCATTATGTGTACCATGTATGCTGGAAGCCAGAAGGTTTGAAGTGAGCTATACCCTGGACCCGAGAGGGAAGAGGAAAAGGAAAGATGTTATTATTCATGACAATTATGATCACTATATTAAAATATTATTAAACTGTTCAAGAGCATAGAATTTTGTGATTGAGCCAAAGATATATGTATTGATCGAGGCTTACATCACAAACAACATTCTGGATAATCGTTGGTGAGGCAGTGTTTAAAGGTAAAGGCCGGTAGTGGTCAATTTGCGATTCAAGGGTTTTGGCTGCAAAATATACATTCAATATTGTTTAAATATTGCCTTCTGAGAAATATATGCCCAAAAGTTCAATGTTGAAGTGCGTTCGCGATATCTATCCTGGCAAGATCAAAATGATAATTTACCAAAGATATCAATTAGTAGGCGGTTCCCCGGCAAAATTTGTGTCATCACATATTAGTTAAAAATTAATTCTTTCACATGATTGGTAATAAGAGCTTCCACTTTTTTTTGAGAGAGGAGGGCGTTTCCAAAATTGGTCTACCGGTATGGCGGGCTTGAATTTTTGTTATCCTGACCCGAAACTGAAAGGGAGAAGAAAAAGTGTTGATACTCTTACAGAAATATGATCCAAGCTCAGATATTATCCCCTGCCAAAGAAAACAGGACTGCATGTCGAGGGGTAGTGACACAAAGACGTAACTCCATATTGGCCATTTTCAGAAAAAAGTGGTTTATGTGTCACTGAGCACGTACGTGGGCCTTAAGGAGTTAAGTCCATGTTTCACTAGCCATTGACTTCAATGGGGTGTTGGGTGGAGTTAAGTCTTTGTGTTTCCTGGAAAGCCTACATTTTTCTGAACATTTTGATATCAAAATACTCATTTTGGCAAAATATGGAGTTACGTCTTTGTGTCACTGAACCCTGGATGTATATCCAAGGATATGTATCGCGCCATATCTAACATGCAATATTCGGTATGAGTAATGATCGTTAGAGACGTATCATTAATCGTACACTGGGTGCCAGCTGGTTCCATCATACATGTATAAGAAATTAAAAAGTGGTTGCTTGAGTAGTGAGTGGTGTGACAAGCATGTAAAACTGAAGATATATGCCCCATTTCACAAAACTTGTCATAAGTGACAAATTACAGTTTTTGTTATGAGCCAGTGAAATCCTTGCTTCTTATTGGTCATCAGCAGATTAGTCATTGAAAAAAAGGCTTTGTGAAATGGGTCCCTGAGCCCCATTTCACTAAACTTGTCATCAGTGTCAAATGACAGATTTTGTTATAAGCCAGTGAAATCCTTGCTTCTGATTGGTCATCAACAGATTAGTCATTGAAAAAAGGGCTTTGTGAAATGGGTCCCTGAGCCCCATTTCACTAAACTTGTCATCAGTGACAAATGACAGTTTTTGTTAAAAGCCAGTGAAATCCTTGCTTCTGATTGGTCATCAGCAGATTTGTCATTGATTTTTGTCATTTGTCATTTAAAAAGGGGATTGTGAAACGGGTCCCTGCACATACACTTACGGGACATAATAATAATAGTAATATTCGGTTCTTGTATATCACATTCTACAACGTCTCTATGGCTTCCAAAGAACTTTGAGCAGAAATTTAATGTCCTGGCTATTGTGCTATCTACAAATATTTCTAAGATAAACATTTTGTAATTTATGCTGTGATTAAAAGCCGTCCTCTTTATACCGTCCATGTGTACTAGCTCTGCTCAATTAGGTGTCATCTATCTGAATATATATTTTTGTATTTGTTGTGTTTGTTGTGAATATATATTCTTCATTCTAGGCCTACCTTCTTCTTAAATTAACAGTAAGGAGACTTGTATACTGAAAAATATGAGGCTTGTTTTAGGTCCACATACCTGCCAGTGACCACTCACGGTGGTCTAATCCCTCTTGGCCAAACTAGTGCAGATAGGCTTCAAGTCAATCGAATGACCATGGCTTATTTAAGCTCATTCTTTGCTGTTTACATCATTGCTTGTGTTTTTATATGTCTTCGTGTTTATATGTTGTGTTTTATATAGTGATGTTGATTTTTATAAGCTTAGTCTTTCAGAAAAGGTAATGAGCATTCCATTCGTAGTTTTCTTGTATACATTTATTAATTAGAGATGATTAAGACAATTGCAGTGGTACTATTTTTATAACATTTATAAATGTAAATAAATTCATGGTGGTGGTGCAATATGAAAGAGAAGTTGAGCTTCATCCATGTTGTTTGTACTATGTGTACGATCCAATCAACAGGTATAATGCACTAGACCTATATCAACACATACATGTAAACAGAAAAATACACATGTATATTATGTCAAACAGTTTGGTACACACAATATATATACAATTCTTCAACCAAGACTATGTAGTTTCATACCAATTAGGTCACATCACAGAGGTCTACTCAAATACTGACAAGAACCTCCCTGCCTAGGCCATCTGAAATACTAGAATAAGTCATGAACTTAGATACCATCAATAACTGAATACACGTGACAGACATGACATCATGAGACTTCCTAATGTACTCTTATAAGGCCTAAAATTAAAACTTGTTGTATTGCCCTTTGCGACCGACCCAAAAATCTGAAAATCTACGGTCGGCATTTTTAAAAAGGTTTTTTTTTTTCAACCGTTTTTTAGATTTTTTTTATTATTAATGAATACCAAAAAAAAGTTTTTTGTTTGTTGGGATATATGGAATATGAATGCATAAAATCATATCATTCCCAAATTCTCACTCATCTTCTGCCCTAGTTTCAAAATCCTGCTACATTAGGATTAAGATAATTTAAAAGTATTTTTTGGTCGACACCCAGTAAACGCATAACATTGCAAACCATGGATTATTATGAGGTGAAAAAGATATGAATGAAATGATGACGCTGAAACACAATGTATTAAAGCATTAAAGCATCAAATATGAGAAATATCAGCCAAAAGAGGGCGGGAAAAGAAAAAAAAAACATTAAAAACTGAAAAATATCGGCCCAAAGAGGGCGACAAAAAAAAATTAAATTAAAAATTCCGACCGACCGACCCATGTTTTGGCACCCAAAGGGCAATACAGTAAGTTTTTATTTTAGGCCTAATTCAAGTCTATCTCACTTCTTCTACATGACTATTAAACTTCTAACAGAAGACAATGATCAAACTAGATCTAGGTTTCATAGATCTGTACTACTAGTCAGAAAATAGGTTGAATGTATCATGCAAGATCTCTCTCAAACCTATACAGGTACTGTACAGAACAAGGTTTATTGCTTATCAACAATAATCAAAACAATTCCACATTTGACCTTTAGTCCTTAGATTCAGCTCAGTCTTAGAATAGCCGATTACTGTCCAGTCCAGTACAATATTAAAACCGTTCAATCTCTTCGAAGTAGACTGGAGCTAGTGTCCTGAATATAAGTTCCAACTAAATCGGGGGTAGATATGGACGTATCGCTGAACTTAGTTTGGATTATGGACTAGATCTAGTCTAGTCCTTACATCGATCAATCATCAAGTCTCAATATCTTCCACTTTATCTTGTTCTCTCATTTTATCATTCATTTTAAACCTTTTGCTCCCTCTCTCTCTCTCTCCCTCTCTATCTCAATCTTCTACCTTTTCTCGTTCCCTCATTTTATCATTCATGTTATATCTCTGCTCTCTCAATATCTTCCACTTTATTTCGTTCTCTCATTTTATGGTGCATTCTATATTCTATATCTCTCCCTCAGTCCCTCCCAATCTTCCACTTTATCTCGTTCTCTTTTTCATCATTCTATTTAAATCTTTTGCTCTCTCTCTCTCTCTCTCTCTCTCTCTCTCTCTCGCTCTCTCGCTCCCTCCCCCTCTCTCTCTCTCTCTCTCTATCTCTCACTCCCTCTCACCAGAGTCATCTTTAGTTCTTTCTCCGTAATATATTTAGCCTTCTTATTTGTCAAGATCTGTCAACTGTCAAAATCTTACATTGGAATTCGGGAAATCACCGTGTAAGTAAGCCCTCGTAATTCATATAGACCCCTCCCCACTCCCCACTCCCCATTCCCCTACCCTGTTTCCGCATCGATAAACTGACCTACAAAGTAAATCCTAACAATGTAGCTGAATTTGTTAAGTACAGATACTAATCGCCCCCCCCCCCCTTCCGATGAAAGGGAAGAAAAGAAGACGCCCCCCCCCCCCCTGGAAAAGAAAAGAAAGGTATATATTCCCTCAAGGGGAGGGGGTGGGGGTGTTGAATAAAATATTTAGCTCACTACCCCCCCCCCCCCCCTCCTCCTCCCTGCTTATTCGTCTCGTCGGATGAGTCGCCGCTAAAGATTTTCTTACGAATTAGACCGCTCTTGGGCTCCCGCCGCCGGCTGGATTCACCCCTGTTGTATATAGTTACACCCTTTATGCAGCGGCAGAGCTAGATTTTTTATTGTTTGCATTTGAAGATGTGGGGGCACAGGGGAACACAAGTACGATGGGGGCCAGGCAGGGGGGTTACCGCGGCCAGGAAAATAATAGTAGATTCGATGCTGGGGAGCACTCATTAGGGCAGTACATTATGGGATCAAGCAAGGAGTACGCGGCGACCGAGGTAAAAAGAAAGGAATTGAAAATGATACTCTTAATCAGTACCGAGCTGCTTATAGTGAACAACAATTTATTGTACTTCAATTATTTCGTAGGGGGCCGGGGCGCCTAGGCCAGGGAGTTTTTGTCAAAGATAGTGGATGAGACAAGATTTTGGTACCTCATGTTTTTTTGTTTTCATGTTGTTTTCATATGCTTTCCCCCCCCCCCCCTTCAGCGCTGTCTCTCAACACTTTTTCTTTCAAAGAGATTCGGCCCGTAGATGGCATTATTGCATAAAAAATGATCGCAATATCCCGGTTTATGATAAACCTCCCGCCAAACGCGTAAAATGAACCAGCGTATCGTATCGTATGGAATTTTGTTTTGCTCAACGTGGAGGGGGGAGGGGGGGGGGGTTAGTGAGCACTTTAGTTGTTTTGTTTTGTTTTTTACTCAACACCCCCCACCCCCGAAGTCGTTGCGAAATTTTTCCTCAAAAAATGGACCAAAACAAATGTGCTCTTACCCCCCCCCCCCCCCTCGCTTATTCAGCGCCTGGCTGAGTCTTTGCGAAATTTCGGCGCGATTATAACATTGTAAAAATCCTGCGTACGCCACTGCTATCACACCCCCCATTGAGCGAAAATTGTTTGCATACGATACGGTACGCTGGTTCGTCTGAAAAGAAAAAAAACTCCCTCCAACTTCCAACCAGCTCCACCAAAGTTAACACCCCGAGTACTATAGGCTAGCACCACACTACCACTGCAAACACTGCCTGAATCACTTCTATGGACGATATACCCTCAAGGAATTTATTAGGTGAGTGATAATCAGTGATATGGAATTAGGAATATGTGAGACGGAGAGGATCACTGGCAGGGGCGTCGCTAGACCTTTTTCAGTTGGGGGGTGTAGAGGCCAACGATTACCGACAAAACTATCCACCAATTACCGACAAAATTAAATTTCCAATATCTACAAATTCAACCCTATAAACCTGGGGCCGAAGGCAAAATTGTTTTTCCAATGGACTATCTATAGTACTTGCATATGCGCAAAATGGTCATTTTCCTCGACGACATAAATATACGAATTATTTCTTCAATTTAGTCAGCATCATAGCTATACATTTTAATGCAGGCGCGGAGCTAGGATCTTATTCTAGGGAGGGGCGGTAGTGAGCAAGAGAATCACTTAAAAGCGCGCTCATTAGAGGGGGGTGGGTGATGGGCCTCCCGCGCGAAGCGCGGAAGCTTAGACGTTTCCTTAAATTATTAGGAAAAGAAGACGATTAAGTGTACCCTTTCAACTGGTAATCCTTGGCTGATAAAGTTCCCCCCCCCCCCACTCCCTCCCGCGCAAAGCGCGAAAGCTTTGACGTTTCATTCAATTATTATAAACAAAGAAGACGATTTGCTGTACCGTTCTCGACTGTATATCCTTTTCTGAATTCAGTATCCCCCCTCCTCCCGAGCAAAGCGCGGAAGCTTTGACGTTTCATTAAATTATGAGAAAAGCAGACGATTCGGTGTAATGTTCTCGACTCTTAATCCTTATCTGAATAAAGCTATCCCCCTCCCGCGCGAAGCGCGGAAGTATTGACGTTTCATTAAATTATTAGAGAAAGAAGACGATTCGTCGTCCAGTTTTTGACTCTCAATAAGCCCTGTTCATCTGAATTTAGTTTCCCCCTCCCGAGCAAAGCGCGGAAGCTTTGACGTTCCATTAAATTATGAGAAAAGCAGACGATTCGGTGTACTGTTCTCGACTCTTAATCCTTATCTGAATGAAGCTATCCCCTCCCGCGCGAAAGCTTTGACGTTTCCTCATATCATTAGAGAAAAAACACGATTCGTTGTACCGTTTTCGACTCTAAATAAGCCCTATTAATTTTGTTTGAATTTAGTTTCCCCCTCTCGCGCGAAGCGCGGAAGCTTTGACGTTTACTTAAATTATTAGAGAAAGAACAAGATTCGTTGTTCCGTTTTCGACTCTAAATAAGCCCTATTGATTTTGTCTGAATTCAGTTTCCCCCTCTCGCGCGAAGCGCGGAAGCTTTGACGTTTCCTTAAACTATTAGAGAAAGAAGACGATTCATTGTACCGTTCTCGACTCGTCTAAATGAAGTTTTACCCTTCTAAATTTTTGGCGTTTCATCACAATATAGAGAAAGGAAGACGATTCCTCGTACCGTTTTCGAATCTTATTAAGCCCTATTCATCTGAATTCAGTTAACCCCTCTCGCGCGAAGCGCGAAAGCTTTGACGTTTCCTCAAATTATTAGAGAAAGAACACGAATCGTTGTACCGTTCTCGACTCGTCTAGATGAAGTTTTCCACTTCTGCGCGAAGCGCGGAATTTTTGGCGTTTCATCACAATATATAGAGAAAGGAAGACGATTCCTCGTACCGTTTTCGATCTTATTAAGCTCTATTCATCTGAATTCAGTTCCCCCTTTGACGTTTCCTCAAATTATTAGAGAAAGAACACAATTTGTTGTACCGTTTTCGACTTTTAGTAAGCCCTATTTGTCTGAATTCAGTTTCCCACTTTCGCGCGAAGCGCGGAAGCTTTGACGTTTCCTTACATTATTAGAGAAAGCAGACGATTCGTTGTACCGTTCTCGACTCGTCTAAATGAAGTTTCCCCTTCCGCGCAAAGCGCGGAATTTTTGGCGTTTCATCACAATATAAAGAAAGGAAGACGATTCGTCGTACCGTTGTTGACTCTTAAACCTTGTTTGAATTTAGTTTCCCCGAAAATTTTTAAACCTCTGATTTCTTTAGCTGATATTATAGGAAAGTGAAACTTCGAGAAAATACAAGTATTGTAGTTGTAGTCACTCTCGAAGTCGTCACAGCGGATAAGAAGTCACAGTTCGTAGGGAAAAAAACTTGTCGGCCGACCGACAATACATCTCACCGACTTCAAACTTCTGCATTGATATAGTACACGAGGATCGAGCAAGAATACCGACACAGCTGACCCGACGCAGCAACATATTTACCCGTGTCTTTCTTGCTCCCTCGACAAGACGACTCCACCCAACAACCCCCTTCTCTCTTTTACTCCCACTCCTCCTCTCTCAGACTCTTACCTCCCCTGTCTCTCCTCTCTTTCACCCCCATTTCTTTTGTTTCCCTTTCACTCTTTTTTCTTTTTTTTTCCTTTTCTTTCTTTTCTTTCTTTTCCTTTTTTTCCTCTCCTCCTTCTTTTTCTTTTTTTCTTTCTTTCTTCTCTTTTCTTTCCTATCTTTTCCTTTCTTTCCTTTCTTTTCCTTTCTTTCTTTTCTTTTCTTTTTTTCTTTTCTTTCCCTTTCCTTCTCTTTTTTCCCTCTCTTTTTTCCCTCTCTTTTTCCCCTCTCTTTTTTCCCCTCCCCCTTTTCTCTTTTTCCCGACGGCAGCGCAATTTTACCGACAATATCCTGACAGGTGGGGGGGTGTCGCATCCCCCCACACCCCCCCCCCCCCTTTGGCGACGCCCCTGATCACTGGCTGACCTCAATGGGGGTAAAATATTGTGCTGCTGTCGGGAAAAATGCATTATGGCTCAAGGCATGGGCACAAAGAGGATTTGTTTATGTTGGGGACCTGGGTAAAATGCAATTAATTTTTTTTTAATTATTGCATTATCTTTTTGTATGTGTGGAAACTGCCTCCTACCCTAGCCCCCGCTGCGTACAGTCATGGTTCAATGACAAAGCAATGGCCTCGTACCTGTGAGGCCCCAGGATCAAAACCGTGTCGATGTGCTATATTAGTGCCCTTTTGGGGGGCATTAATCCTCATTACTGTCATTTATGACTTAAGGGCGTAGGTCCCCTAGTTGATAAGCATATTAGCATACACATAATTTAGCAGTCACGCAAAACAAACACTGGCAAATTATTATTCAATAAAATCTGAGAATGTATACTATTATCTAGATCTATTAGGAATAAATCATTGTCAAAATAATTCCATAAATTGGGGTAAAAAAAAACATTCCAACTGTATGAGCGACAGTGTATAACGTTGAGCGAATGGCAACCAGCGATATCAAATCAGAAGGGTTCTTTTAGGAGCCAATTTAGGAAATTGAGGCTGCAGCCATTCGCATGTTCGTGTGTCGTTAAATTTGCGCTCCCAATAACCAGCGTACACACAAGTGACCAACGCTCCCTCAACTATTAAAGGAAACTAGTATAAAAATTTGTGAGGATATTTTCACGTCGCGTTAAATTCGCTTTTGTTCTTTCGATCGCATAATTCACGAAAATATAACCCTCAAGAAAATAACAGCTTTAAACTGTACATGTAAATGCTTTGTGTTGTTTTAGTTTACCTGTATTTTAGTTAAGAAAGTGATATATGTTCGAGGTTGTAATAATTATGTACAGCGCCATGAGCGTTAGAGCCTGGCGGATACCGGCGCTATATAAATATCCATATTATTGCATGTAGATCTAACATCAATAAGTCTTTCCTTTGCAATTTAACTAACAAAATCAACGCCGGTATCACATTTCAGGCAATTCCTACGATGCGTAAGGTCTACGGCAGGTATTAAAAACTAGAACTTTCCTAAATTTCATAGTTGAGGAAATATATGAGAGCTGAATGATTTCATGATTATTTTTGTTACAGGAAATGCTTGTGGTGCTCATTGAGTCTCTGAAAGCACAGGCACCATGACTGCACCAAGGGAAGAGAGTGAGGGAAGATACCTGAAGGTCAAGGTTCTCGACTTCTTTGATCGTCGTCTGGCCGGTGGTTTAGTATCATGGAGGCAGTTAGGTAAACAATTAGACTTCACCTCTATGGATGTTGAAGTAAGTATTGCGTTTACTGGGTGTCGACAAAAAAATACTTTTTAATAATCTTAATCCTAAAAAAGACTGGGTTATTTTGGTACTGTATGAGCACAAGGAGTTGGATCCCCCTGCTCTCCCTGAAACCCCCCCCCCCCTGCCCCCATCAACCTCATCCCCCCCCCCCCATATCCGGGGTCTTTGCCATGGATTGACGAAAACAATTGAAACATGGCACAGAGATGAAGTATCTTTACTACTTGTTACTGTGCTTTTATTTCAGAAATTGGAGTCTGACGGGTTGAAAATAGACCAGTCATCTGTTAAACTTCTCCTGCGTAATTGGGAGTGTCGAGAAGGTGGATGCAACGTGGAGCTACTCAAGAAGAGCTTGGCGGAAATTGGCCGAAACGATATTCTTTGGGACCTCAGGGCTGAATATGAAAATCAAGGTATGCTAATAGAATTTAAGAATTAACTCAAGGCATTTTTAGACCAATGTGCTTTGTACGGTGAATGACAATTACATGTTTACATTCATTTCATCCCAAAATGAAACTAATATTTGCTAACTTTTCACCATTTGATGTCATGCGTAGCCTCTTAAGTCAAACAAATTCCTTTCATATTTGTAAATTCTACCTCTTCCTTTTTTTCTTCAATGTCTGATATTATAGGTATAGAATTGGTTGAATCCAGGTCCTATCCCAGAACCATTGGTCGAATACCACTTGGTGATGGAGAAGTTCTACTTGTCGGAAAAGGGTACAATGTACGAGATTTTCAGCTGCAAGAGAAGAGAAAATTGGATCCGGAGCCGGTAATAAGAACGGATTTATCTACTTCAGGCGATCAGAGCTGGGGTGGCGGCTCCATGGACAGCACTCCAGGATCAAACAGTCCAAAGAATTTTAGGAAGTCAACAAGAGCGGTAAGCTGATTTTATTTACAATATTAAACATGCAATAGTTGCTACCTCCATATAAAGGCCATTGGTCTAAAGTGGTTATCCCCATGTGTTATCCCTCTAGAAAAGCCATCTGCCCATAGTGGCCACTTTTTTGTTCCCTTGGGTGGCCTCAGTAGACAGGTTTGACCAGATTTTACACTTACATAAAACATGGCAGTATAAACTTGGAATTCAATTGGCTATATACAAACAGAGTCTGCCTTATGCGTAGGCAGAGCTGTGTATACAATGTCATTATTTTTTTAGTCAATATTTGTAAAGTTTTATTGTCAAGACAAGGTCCAAAGTCCTTTGCCAGTTTGCCACAACTACACACAGTGATTTTGTTTTGTTCATATTTCCCTTTGCATAGAGTAGTGAAGTGTGACGTCATCAAAAATCTATATTTGGCATTTCTCAAATTTTTTCTTCATTTTCCGAAAGAGCATCCAAAATAATGTCCAAATGTCGAGTATTGGCTGATATATTACCATCTGAATAAATAGATTTCCTATAGGAACTCAGTGTTATATTGCTGTGGTTCATCATTTTTATGCTCTTTCGGAAAATGAAGAAAAAATTGAGAAATTCAAAAAATACATTTTTATGATGTCACAGCTTCGGTACTCTATTAACATGGGAGGTACATGTTAGGGGTGTAGTCTATGAGCTCAGACTCGGTTTGTATATAGCCAGTTGAATTCCAAGCTTAGCTCCCCACCATGTTTTATATGGGCATTTAAAGAGAAGTTTGGGGTCTGGTAAAGGAGAAAGTAAGTCATAGGGCAATCCAACCCTTGTGATAAGTTCTTTCTATGAAAGCAGAAAAATAAGAGAAACTGAATGGCGAAAGTTTTCAATAGAACAGACTAATAATCAGAGAGTTATGAATGTTTGAAATATGAGATCACTATATGGCTATGCGAATCTCAAGATGGCATTTTTGTCAGTGGATTGTCATGTATTAAAGCCCATCTGTACTAGTGTAAAGGAGTGATTAGACCATCCTGCAAGGTCACATTACATGTGGTTATCTCATCAACTCAGCTCTCAATTAACAAGAAAAAGAGGATCGTGGGGGACCAATGGTCACCGGCATGGTTTGCTATAGAGGGCGCAAGTAGCTATAAGTCGTGCAGTGGGGCTTTAGTAGACAACTCTCCCGTTTGTTTCTTTTGTTCTCCCAACTGCCTTCTACCTTTATGGATCCTCTTTCATGGACATTTAAGTCATTTTGTGTTTGGGAACAAATTGGAAAGTTGTCCGGCTCTACATCGCAGTGGCATTGCCGATTCAGCCAATTTGGAGTTTCCGTATGTACATTATATTATTTACAACTTTCAAATAGTAGAGGTGTTGTGGTCGAGTGGATACGTCGCCGGACTGTCGATCACAAAGTTCGCGGTTCGAGTCCCGCCGCCGCACTAATGTCCTTTGGCAAGACATTGATCTACATTTGCCACACTCCACCCAGGTGAAGTAACTGGGTACCTGGTAGGAATTCATTCCTTGATATGCTAGAGCGCCGTATGGCAGCCGTGCTAAAGCCAGGGTAATAATCGGGAGCGCCAGGAGGGTCAAATCTGACTGACATGAGCGCTATACAAGAACCCACTATTATTATTATTATTATTATTCATAACTTTCTGAATTTTTGTCCAAGTTAGTTCAAACGTTCACCAGTCTGTTTTCTTTTAGAGTTGTTTGCTATCATTAAAGGTTGGATTCCCTTTCAGTGTTTTGTGTACATAGAGGAAATTAAACACCCCCTTCCGATTTAATAATACCAAATACATTTTTTGTGTTGTCAAAACTTCCTACTGACAAATTTTGGTTCATTGGCTGGAAGGAGTGAAAGTGACCCAGCTTTGTGGAATGTTTCTCTTTTCTTTTTTTTCTTTCTTTTTTGTTCCTTTTTTTTTGGGGGGGGGGGCTTTGGCTAAACCCGACAGCCGTGGTCAAGCTGACATCATTTTTTTTTTTACCAGTGTTAATGTGCACTGTTCATTTTATACAGCTTGTATACATTTTCTACCATACATCTACAGTATGTGTAAATATTACAACATGTATGTCCATTGACATGACTTTTTTGTATTTCACCCGTTTTATCATCTTGATTTTTTTTTCCACAGCAATTATCAGAGGAACCTCGCCAAATTCTCCCCGACCAAACTGAGTGTATTTCTCTAGAAAAACCGAGAGAAATCGAGACATATCAAAATCATGGGGACTTAGGGTCGATACGTTCAGAGCCTCATAGTGTTCGTGATGAAACAGGACATGGAGGGGCATGCTCTGGTAAGCATTTATCATTAAAGGGACTCGGTAAAATTGTCTTAGATTTTGAAACGAAATCGTGGATTTAGCTTATGCTGCAATGATAATTATAAACCTTTAGGTCAGTCAGGAACCCCATGACTTTTACAAGCCGGTCGCATGTCTGATTATCAAGATATTTATGATTGGAAATCGAAATCAAATTTTCCGTTTCCTAACAGTTTTTATAACACTACAGTCTATTGGGGGAAAAGAGTTTGGTAAAACTCAAAGGTTTTTATTTTTTGAGGCACATGATCATTTTTAAGCACAATTTTATAGAGCTTCAATATTACACCATATCAAAGACACTGATAACACGTAGGGCCATGCATCTCAGATTTAACATTGTTAAACGATGCCTTTAATAGTATAAATGATGGTGATGATGATGATGATAATAATGATGATAATAACAACAAGAACTGCAATGATAAGTTTAATAGTAATAACAGAGCTGCCAACCCTCCCGGATTTGTCGGGAGACTCCCTGAAAATCCACCAATTTCTCAATATCTCGACACACATACAAAATCTTTCAGATTCTTACGATAAAAAAAAAATCAAATCCCGGTGGTATCATTTCATGTGGGTTTCATATGTTACAACCCCTGTATCTAAGTGTAACCTCGCACATGTGTGAGCGACTTTGTGTTGACTTTCTTTGATCTTCTAGTATCATATTTTCATGATCTTTGCAATCATCTAAATGCGAATGCATTAGTACAAAATATTATATTATAATATTGGATGGCTTTTAGTGTAATACAAGAATATATTGCTTGAGTATCCCACAATAACAGGGCCATGCAATATATGTATTATTATCTATATCAGGCTGACTAGCGAAATAGCAAAATTAGACTTGCCTCGATCGGTAAATGCATTGGGTGCAGTGACCGGGTACCAGCGAAAGTGTTGTTGATTTTCGATCGAAAACAATATTGATTTGTCATCCGGGTACAATACTGCGCTAAAGATATTAAATACACTGATTTATTGTACCACTTAGGAGCCTTATATGGTCAATACTGCTTGACGACAACTTTTTTTTTATTTCCACCTTTCATGAAACACGAGCCCCTCATACTTATTGGCAAATTTGACATTGTGAGGACCTTTTGCCCCCCCCCCCCCCGCTCCGTGATCGGAGGGATACCATGCGTGTTACCAAAATGTCCGGTAACGGGATACTTTTCACGCACCAAATAAGTCCGGCTCGTAGAACACAAAAGCCCGTTTTACACACCGGACTTAGGGGTTGTTTTCAAACGGAGGGAACATGCATATCATGCATATGCGTACCCTAAATTGGGCCCTTTTTATGCGGTCATTTTTGTGTATAACTTGTCGAAAAATTAGAGCCGACACTGCCCACCCCCCCCCCCCCCACACACACACACACACACACATTCACACATACAATCCATATACGCAAAGCCATATCACTTTCCTCTTACTTCAGAGCTTACCAATCAGAAGACCGCGCTTTTTTCCAGGAAGTCCCGGTTGACATTATGCGCCAAATGTGGTTCTCAAGTTGCAAAAGATCCTTACTCTTCGAGGGGGTAGGATAAATCAATTTTACGTCATATTACTCCATGAAGTGCCTGGAAATGCGCCTAATGTGGTTCTAAAGTTGCAAATGCTTCCTACTCAAGGAAGGGGTTCTCTCCTCTCCCAGATCAATGAGCGTCAGAGCCTGGTGGATACCGGCGCTCTATAAATATCCATATTATTACATGTAGATCTAACATCAATGAGTCTTTCCTTTGCAATTTAACTAACAAAATCAACGCCGGAATCACATTTCAGGCAATTCCTACGATGCGTGAGGTCTACGAAACTAGATTTTCCTCAATTTCATGGTTGAGGAAATAGATGTGGGCTGAATGATTTCATGATTATTTTTGTTACAGGAAATACTAGTGGTGCTCATTTAGTCTCTAATAGTATAAAAGCAACCATGACTGCGCCAAGGGAAGAGAGTGAGGGAAGATACCTGAAGGTCAAGGTGCTAGACTTCTTTGATCGTCGTCTGGCCGGTGGTTTAGTATCATGGAGGCAGTTAGCTAAACAATTAGACTTCACCTCTATGGATGTTGAAGTAAGTATTGCGTTTACTGGGTGTCGACCAAAAAATACTTTTGAATTATCTTAATCCTAAAAAAGACTGGGTTATTTTGGTACTCTATGAGCAAAAGGAGATGGATCCCCCTGCTCTCCCTGCAACCCCCCCCCCTTCCCCCCTCAACCTCATCCCCCCCCCCCCCCCTCATATCCGGGGTCTTTGCCATGGATTGACGAAAAAAATGAAACATGGCACAGAGATGAAGTATCTTTACAACTTTACTGTGCTTTTATTTCAGAAATTGGAGTGTGACGGGTTGAAAACAGATCAGTCATCCGTTAAACTTCTCCTGCGTAATTGGGAGTGTCGAGAAGGTGGATGTAACGTGGAGCTGCTGAAGGAGAGTTTGGCGGAAATTGGCCGAAACGATATTCTTTGGGACCTCAGGGCTGAATATGAAAATCAAGGTATGCTAATGGAATTCAAGAATTAACTCAAGGCTTTTTAGACTAATGTGCTTTGTACGGTGAATGACAAGTACATGTTTACATTCATTTTCATCCAAAAATGAAACTAATATTTGCTCACTTTTCACAGTTTG